GGATATTGAGTATCGTTGATGAATGCATGTTCTGTTAGAAGAGAAATTTCATTACCCAGAGTAATAGGCTCGATTACAAGAAGCCGTTCTGTGCGCCCGCAAGAGCTCTTTTTAACTATCAAAAATATTGTTTTGTGTTCAACAAAACTAGCGTAGACGTACTAAAAGATTATATCAATTTCTTTTTAGAGTGTGTCAGATCACGTATATTCGAATATATGGAAATGCAATTCATTTCTAATTTTTATGCATGATGTAGGGAGAGGGAGAGGCACGTCTGTGTACCGCCAGAGCTAGTGAAACCACGTATCATTCCCCTCAAAGTTCGCTTAGCTATAGTGTTGAAAGGGGAAGCTAAATGACATGTATTTGTGAGAGACTGTGAGCATTGAATCTTGTTGCTTTACGGCATTTTAATACTGTATTGGGCATACACCTGTAATTCTGTAATTAAATCCCGAAAGCGAATAAAAAGTTTCGTTTAATTATATTTTGGGAGCAAACCCAGTGGAGATTTTAGGGTAATAATATTGATGATTAAGACGATGTACAAAAGGCAAGTTTAACTTTCGCCAGTGGGTCACTGGCCGGGTGTTAGGTGTAAATTAATACAGTTTGTGGTGTACTGTGTGTGTTTGTCATGATGTCAACTAACATTAAAAAAAAATCAGCTGTTTCAGAGGAGGGACATGTCTTGACAGCTTATGGTTTTTATCTGGTAATTAAAGCTTGGCCAGTATGCAGATCAAGAGCTTTTGAAATCTAAAATAATGAATAAAACTCCGGACTTAAGCTTAAAATAAATATTGATCCAAGTGCATGACCAGCAGGGTCTGCAGTAAGAATAAAAAAAAAAGGCCAAAAAGAAAAATAGGGAAAAAAAGAGTACATAGAAACAGAAAGCAGCGTCGCCGGGAGTCTAACCCGGTTACTCCGCACGTGCAAGAAACTCCTAGACCACTGCACCACAGTGACACACACGATGTGAAAGGTTAATTTTGTCATATCAAAACAATTTTTCTCTGCCATAGACGCTGTTGAAGCTAGTAGATCTGTATTTATCATGAATTTAAATATGCATTTGAGGAAAACTAGCTTAAGGGCGTATTTCAAAGCTATTTCGCATTATTTCCGGTTCAACACGGGCCGACTCGATGTAGATAATCGATCGAACTAGCTTTACTGCATTTGGTGGAGAATTAGGAGATCAACAGAGGCCCGCACTCGAAAGGAATGATATGAAGTTAGGCCCATTTAATTAGCAAAAGAATAGATGAAATATAAACAAGCATGATCTGTGAATGGAACCTCCTATTCTGGAGACTAGACTTTGCCTATTTTAGAGAAAAAAAAGATTTAAGTTTTGATGACCTTGCCGGTCCCGTGAAATAGATGGCGATCCCGCAACACGGCTCGCAAAACAAATTAACAAAATTTTACAATCACGGACACAAAATATCAAAACGGTTTACACAAGCAGATTATAGCGACACCAAAGCTCACACACATTCGATCAAATAAGCGATATATAACAATTATTCACCGAAGTGGAGGTGGCTAGTCGTGCATTTTACCGAACTGCGAAGCAGTGAGGTAAATAGCCACGACTAGCCACCGACACTGAGGTGAATAATTGTTTTAGTATATACTAAAACAGTGAGATAATTAAGTACAAAAATGATGATTTTTAACTCAAATACTGTTGCCAACGATTACAATTTTGGCGCGTAATGACCAGGCGGCCGCGGCCGTCGCTTTCTCTTGCCGACAATTAAAACTTTTGAAGGCATTTGTTTAGCTCTTGAGGGGAAATTTCTTCAAAAGGAGTTGTGGAATTCTTTTTTTATTTAAAATCATTCTATAAAAAACGATTATTAAATTTAGTTTTAAGCTTATTTATGAACAACTCGACTAAATAAAGTAACGCAAGACTTAAACTTAATTTGCATTTGTAAACAAACAACTTTTTCACCGGTTTTATCGATAAATTCGTGTCAAAAAGACAAAGCTTTACCTGTTAAAACTTCCAATCCGAACTTCGTCACCTTCTTCGTGTATTTCGGGAACAGCTTGCTTGATTAGTTGTGAAATTCCTTTGTTTGTTTACGGCAGCAAACCGGGAAGGCATTTTGCTCGCAACTTACGCGAGTTTGGCGTCGCTCTCTCGGAGGAACTGGAGGTGAATCAGTGAATAGGGCAGGACATTCACTGATTGAGTAGCCAATCAGAGCGCGCGAAAAACACTATCCACTGTTTTAGCATATACTAGCGATATTCGTTAGCTTCTTTGCTTTTCCTCGACCTCGCTCGTCCAAATAACTGTCGTATCCCTTGCTAATTTGAACAAGCGACTAGGCAGGCGGAGTGGGTCAAGAAACTTAGGTGGAAAACAATAGAGTTACTCCCCCCCCCCCACTGATGAAAATATCAACCAGGTTGAATCCCCGTTCAAGGGATACCTTAGCACTCAAAATGTGACTGACCACTGAGATACAACAACAACATCAAATTTATTTAACAAAGCTAGGCACACAAGAAAAGCTGAATTCCAGGTGGAAATCAGAGATGGTTGATAAATTTATGTGTGTGCTAATCACAAGGATGACAGCTTTCACAAAAGGAACTATCTCACTAAAGCTGCACCTGTGGGAATTCAACACGCAGCATAGCAGAGAAATGTTAAACAGGATTGTTCACAACAATACCGAGGCAATGCAAAATATATATAAAAATCTAGTCTTTGCTGGTTAATTATTAACAAATCCCACCCCAACTTCTATTCAGGAGACACTTTCCTCGGTCTCTTATTTGTCTAGTTTATCCACCCAATATTCATTAGAAAGCTTATGTCTAAACCATTACTGATCAATGCATTTCAAAGTATCTGAACCCAAATAATAAAGTGGTCCCTCTCGTTTGAAAAAAACAGCCTGCCTTCTTTTACCTTATATATTTTTAGGAGTGACAATCAAAATATAAGTTGCGTGGACAATAACAAGTCTTTGTATGTACTTGTGCTGTATTAACTCTCTTGAAAACCACCCGAAAATTGATTTAGTGTCTTTCAGTTGCATCAAACAGACGACGACCGTCATGTCCTCACACATTAAAAATTTTCTTTACTGTATAGCCCTGAAACGAATAAAACAAGATTTATTAACACTCATGAAAGATATTAACTCGGAAACAACGGGTTCATCAGTTAGTTGTAATCATCAGTTAGTTAAAAATTAAAATGTGAAGTGAATAATTAATAGACAAAGATAAGACAGTCCGCCACCACGACAAGCTGGCCCTAAGCCAGTTAGCGGACTAACTGGTTTACGTGTATACTCTCTTCTATCCCTCTTTCTTTCATTCTCACTTCAACCCCAAATCCCCCAAAATTCAACTGTAATCCCTCCTTAAGATATGTGTATAAACCACGTTTTGTGAGAGAAAACTTTACGACTTTATCAAATTCGTTGTTTAACTCCTCTAAATTTGAGGATTTATCTCGAGCATGCGCTCTTTCATCGCCTGTCACATTCCTGACAGGCAATCACGTTTACAAATCGGATTTGACCAGATCTCGCTTCCGGATTCGTCAACAAGAGATCTGGGTACAAGATTAGCTAGTTGCAATTGTTCACGGTAATCTCAAGTTCAAATCCTCGACCACACTAGTAAATAACTAAAGGTTTGGCTCCGGCCAGTTTTTTTTAATTATTCGTTTCACAGCTTGCTCCAGTCCTCCAGACTCTGCGACTGACGAGGGTAAAAAAAGGATTTATTTATTTATTTTATTTTATTTATTTACCGGCATCGAATAGAAAAAGAGGACCACCAAGGCGATTAATATTACGAGTATCAATAACTTTATTATCAGCCACTTGTAACGTCGCCACAGTATGTATCTCAGGCTTTTAAACGGGGAAGAAAACCACGCGAAAGAGGTAGCTGGTCGGCTAAAAGAGAAAGAAAACATGATTTATGAGAAGATTAATAATTACTTAAGGATAAAGTCAGAAGGGTGCTGGTTTGGCTCAATTCTGGTGGAAGTACAAGATGAAAGATTTATGAGACTGACACTCTTTTTTTAGGAGGATCAAGTTAAGGATGTTTGTTGTAATTGAACATGGTGTCTCTACATAACGGTATAATTGAAACTGATCTATTTACTAAACCCACGGATAAACATCAGCACCTTCTCAGCTCATCATGCCATCCTCACCACACTAAGAAAGCCATTCCGTTCAGCTTAGCCCTCCGCCTCCGCCTCATCTGCTCTACAGACGCCAAGTTTAAACATCGCATTAATGAACTAAAAACATGTCTCCTTGCTCGTGGTTATAATAATAATTTCCTAGAAAAACAGTTCCTATGCGCTGCTAATATTTCTCGTACTAACGCGTTACAGACTAAACCCAAAGCTTTTAACGATGTTGTACCATTTGTTGTCACATATAACCCAGCACTTCCACGCACTTCTAATATCCTGCGCAAACATTTTAACATCTTACACTCCTCTAACCGTTGCAAAGACGTCTTTAAGCAATCGCCTTTTGTTGCTTACAGACGTAGCTCTAATCTTCGTGACCTTTTAGTTAAAGCACAACTACCCGTTATCTCCACCAATCATTTTCCGCCGGGCTCCTTCCGCTGTGGACAGAATTGTGCCACTTGTCCATACATTACTAACGGCCTAACAAGTTATACCTTTTACGCTACAGGTGAAACACGCTCATCACTTCACACATTACTTGTAACACTAAAAATGTTATCTACATGGTTCAATGTAACCGTTGTAATTTACAATATACAGGTGAAACTAAGCGACGTCTCAAGGACAGATTTAACGAACACAGACGTGCAGTCGACAAAACTAACATTAAATCTAAACCCACTACTGTTTCTGAACACTTTCTCTCTCACTCTAACCATTCTCATACTGACATGCAGTTAATCTCACTAGAGAAAATTCATTCTTCACGTGACTCAGTTCGTAAGGCCAGGGAGTCGCATTTGATAGATAAGGCCATGACTCTTGAACCTCATGGCCTAAACCGCCGTGACGAATTATTGTAATCCATATCCTTAGTATTTTTCCTTTCCAGTTTTTATGTTGTACGTCATTTCCGCCTCTCCCTTTTATTGCGACATTCTCCATCTATATAATATTGTGATTGCTACATAAGTTCAGTAACATCTGTAAACCTGAAGAAGGCTGGTATGGCCAGCCGAAATATTGTTATAAAAAACAATACACGTTGTTTTAAATCAGCTTTGCTGTAGTCTTCGGACTTCTCGTTCTTGTTAGTTAACAAATACCTCCAATTTATTCTCTTTCTCACGCAACGCTCTTCCCCACTGGGGAGGAGCGTTGCGTGACGAGACTAAAAACGGCTGTGTAGCAGACTACTTACTTAGGAGGATCAAGTGTAGGATGCTGGTTGGGTTCATCTCGTGCTTTTCCAGCCGGCCTCTCTTCAGATTCTTGTTTTGTTAAAAGGTCTAACGTCATTTCCAACTTTCCCTGTTGTAAAACCAAGATGCAAATATTGCAAAGAAATTATCTTTGAGAAATTTTTTTGTCTGATGAATATACAAATCTCTAATAGTACGTAATAAACTCAAACAAAGCAAGGTGAAAGGATTGATTAGATTTTTTAGACTGACAAGAAACGTTTGAAGAAAGTTACCAGTTTGTTCCAAATTATTAGCCTTTTTCCATGCAAAATAGTCAAATTTACCAAACTCAGCAGAAAACAGGCCCGTATTAAAAGTGAAAAAGAAACAATTCCCATATTTTTTGTTAAGTAATGCCTAATTTCCCAGCGGTCTCTAGAACAAGGAATTCGTTTGATCTACTATCAATTGCATGTCATTTAACAATCCTTGTACTTACCATATTCCTGCCTTAGAAAAGCCATTTGTTTCAGTTTGGGTTTTTATTTTTTTTATTTTTTTTTTTTTTACACACGAGAGATATACAGAAGAATCCCACGAACCGTCGATTTTTTCAAAATTCCTTAGTTTTCTTCCACCAGTTAGTATAGGTAATAGCATGATATGTAGCGATATTTGGCATAAATACCACGAGTGATATTTCGAAATTGTTATACGTAATTTTGAGACAATTTTCAAATATCACGAGTGGTATTTATGCCAGATATCACTACAAATCATGTTATTATTTGTTTGTACTACTACCCGCAAAAGGTTTGTAATTTTTACATGTAGGTATTTCCATTAAGCTGAAATACCACTGCTCTAAGCCAATCAAATTGCAGAAATTTCTCATGTAGTGGGTGAGACAATAAAGTTATACCCCCGATTTTTTCAATCTCCCTATACCCGCTAGGAGGCTGATTTCTCTAACCCTCGGTTTCTTTTAAAAACTTTTCGCCAGTAATTCGAACCAAACCTAACTTCAGCCCTTCACTAGTCAAACACTGTAATTCTACCTCCGATTTTTTTAACCACCCTATAGTTCCAAGAAATTTGCTTTTGGCAAGTTGGTTAGAAAAATCAAGGTTCCACTTTAAATAAATATCGTCTGTGGTGAGACAGGGAAAATATCAGAACAAATAACTTATAGCAAGGCTGAAATCCCAACTGGCAGAAGAAAAACAAGAATGGCTATTCCAAAGCGTGGCCAAAGAGCTAAACAGAGGACTGCCGTTAGTTGTTTGTTTCGACTTGGGACAACCTGATTGTATATAAAACCCTGCGTGAGCATGCGCCGTCTTACTACGATGTCACTTACCGCCAGTATCTGTTCGCCGTCCTTCGTTCCCGTTGCAGGCCACCAGCCATTGATTCGCTTCAGATCAAAGAGGGACACTGTGTCTATGTTGTGTTTGGAATGTTCAATTTGATCTAGCTCGCACTTTCGAGCGTTCTTGGCAGGTTTGGGCAGTTTGCATAAATTTAATTCTAGCTGACCTGGCAACAACAACAAGTAACAACAGAACAAACGAGTAAGGGTAAGTGGAAATAGTCAGCGTATAGAAGGTGCGGAAAACCTAAATATGACCTAGAAATGTCTCTCAACATGTAAAAGAAATATCCACACCCTTGTATCCAGCCTATTAAAGTTTTTTCCCAACAGTAATTTTCGCAAATATATTATCCCAAAACGCTACTTGAAAGAAAAGTTTTGCATGAAACACTTTAAGTTTTTTTATTTTTTTATTTTTTCGAAAAAAGGTCCTTTGTGGCATGCAGGTACAGTCCAACTTTCACATTTCGACATTTATTCATTCATTCATTCATTCCTTCAGTATAAATGACACAAGCCGGACGTTTTCGCTGCCGAAAGAGCCATTTCGTCCTTTGATGCACCGATATCAAGTGACAAAAGGCATCTGGTCCAGTTACCGTAACTACTACTAGAGGGCAACGAGTTGATTCCTTGATCGAGTAACCATATTACCCTCACATTCAATACAACCTATTGCCTTGTAGTACAAAGCAATAAGTTAAACGCTTTTATGAAAAGAATTAATTATCACATCAAGAATTACCGAGAAAGTCATCTGGTGAGAAAAGGTCGTTGTCCCAAATTTGAACAATCATTTTGGGTGGAATTCTCTGCTCTGTCATATCCATGCTCCAAAAATGTGCCTAATGAAAAGATACAAAAATTGGGAAAGAAAAGGAAAAAAGGCTCATTAGTTTCAAATCATGTACATGATCCTGTCTAGTTCAGGTTTTAGCGAGATCGAGGATCAGTTTATCTTTCAAGGTGCAAAGTGCCCACGCTATTCTCTCTTACCGGTCACCATAAAAGGACGGACACCAAGAATGGGTCCCTGCCATTCTTTACCCCTATATTTGACTCTCTATTCTTTAAGGCAAATACTTTGTGCCAGTCCCGTGGATTTTCGTCTTAGAGAGAGTTAAAGTCTCCTCGCCACATGTTCTTTCATGACTTTTGCTTCTCTCAATAACTTCTTGCTTCTCTATCATGTGGAAAATCGGTGTGGGCAAGTGAGGTAGAACCCTATCGGGACTCTCACGAATAATATTGTATATTTTAAAGCCATTTACGAAAATCAGTGTTGATTAAATCATATAAATTACAAGTAGTGTTAAAATTGCTGACTTTAAGTAATGAATTTAAGCATTTGAGTTTACCTTGAATGCAATTAATTATACCATGGGCTGCCAAGTGGGGAAATTTTGGCTGAATGAGATGCCGAATATCCGGACTCAAATACCTTTTTCAATATTTTACGGACAAACTGGCTTAAAAAGACTTAACACATAGTTCTCTTAAAACGTGTCAAATTGACATGTATAAAATTATTTAATAAGATTCATACCTTTTTTCTGACCACCATAATTTTTTCAGCCGGAATGTACAAAAAGGGGAACACGAATCGCCAGTTAAAATTGCCTGTGCCATCCAGAGACCTGAAATGAAACAAGTCCAATTAACTATCACTCCAGTTTTAACAAGCCCCCGGGGATGCTTAATAAAAAGACTGGACGTAATAGGAATTGCAATAAAGGTGTTAAATGTCAACTGTATGTTAAGAGGCGTGCGAAAACGAGGACTGAAAGAGATCAACTGAATTATGGTAAGCATTCATAAAAATCGAAAGAACAACCAGGGCCTTTAATGAATTTCATTATTGTAAGTTCAACCCAAACTGTAAAAAAAGGTAAAACTCCTTAATTATTGTCCGTTTATCGTCTGAATCTTAGGACGATTCGGTATTGTTGGTTTGCACGTGACGTCACGGCGGCCATGTTCGAGATCAAGAACAAAGGCATTTCTCTCCTCAGGAAACTAAACTCTGTTTTCATGTAAATTCTTCGAGAAAACTGATTCTATTGTATTGACCCCCAACGTGGCCGCCTTGTCACGTGGTTGCAAACCAAGAATATAGTATATTTGTTTAGGCGTGAGAATCACAACCTACCTATAGTGAACATCAGTCTTCTCTTGTTTATCGATTCCTGACACCCACCTGAAAACCAACACAGTCTATTTTATATTTATAGAGCGGTATAGAACAGCACATTTTGATGGATCGGAAATAAAAGGCGTTTTTTTCATTTTCATAAAGTGTATATTAAATTCATCGCTATTCTCCACATGTCTTTCTTAGTCAAGGATAAGGGTCTAGGAAAGGAATAAATATCATCGCCACGTCCACCTAGTACGGAAAGTTCTAAAGAACTATCAGAAACTTATCATTTTATCTGACGAAATTAAAGCATTTACAAACCGTCAAATTCTTTTATTTACTTACCCTTTGACGTAAATGTCGCTCATCGCCTCACCCATGACCGAAACCTCATCTAAAATGACGTCACTGGTATTCCAGATGATAACTCGTAACTCGTACCTAAATGTAAACAAATCAAAATGATTAATCTTAATTAACAGACCGGGATCGAAAGTTCTTCATCGAACTAAACCTAGAAAAATAAAGTGATCCAGGGATATCACCAACGGGAAGGATAAAAGGGAACAGGAAAAACAACAACAACAAAAAAGAAATGGGAGCAAAACAGAAAATGGGTAATGAAGTTACGGACAGGGCTAAGGCCGTTCCGAATTTTTCATGCATTTCCCGTTCACAGTCTCGTTCCACGTGTCCTCACTTCTCGTTTTCGTTCACCTGGTAAAAAAGGCTCGGTGGAAATTTTCGTGTCATTTTTTGGTATAATGACTTACTCTCCTGGCTCTCGAGGCGAGATGTTGAATGGCATTCCTGGAGGTCCGATTGACTTTGGGAAAATGTCAACCCACATCTGTAGCTTTCCCTGCGAGTAAAAATAGAAAAAAAATACATGAAGGGATACGATCAAACCGCACAACCTTGAGGAGGAGTAGAGATATACTGGATTTTAAACAAGGAGAAAATTATCCGATTTGGGGAAAGGTAATAGTTTGTCAGTGGATAAATGTTCGACTGTGAACGCCGTACTTCACCGTACCGATGAACCTGATGCTAATTGAGCTAGAACAATTATCCTCGCTACCTACAATACACATGAAAATGAATATGGAATGAGTTAGAGAGAGTTGAAAATTGTTGCTGTCCACACCTGTGGACAGCGGTGCATTCATCGGGGCTGAGAGACAGGGTCTGACCATCCTGTGAGATGTTGTTAGTAGGAACAACGTTTGTTGTATATACAACGCTAAGAATTGTGAGATATCTATTGTTAAGAATATTCTTGTTTTATTTCCGGTACTGAGAATGAGACCAATGTTATGGTTACCCAAGATCACTGCACTAGTGGTTTTTGAACAAACCTGCTCTACTCCAGGCTGTAGTGTGTTAAAGAGTGGCCGTGTTTCCACGTGTTCAGGAACAAGTGGCAGGCAGTTGAGCACGTGCAAGGCAAGTCGCTGATCAGGAGGACCCATGTGTGGATTTATAGTCATTCCGTTTTCTAAGAATTTGATAAAAAGGAGTTATCTTTTACTGTGAATGGAAACACACACTTTGAAATATCGTGCGCAGTTCGTCTCGTCAGTTATGAAAGTGAGGGATTTATCTGCTTCACTTTCTTTAAGTTTAATACATGTTTCATCGCAATCATTCACTGAAATGTAATGTTAGTTTTCTTTCGTAACTGACAATACTTTGGCTTGGAAACTCAGTAATTTATTCAGAGGAAATCTATTGGTTGACCGTTTTCAGGTCTTTTTAGCATGACCCCGAACTCAGGGGAGGATATGGACGATGAGTGAAACTTCCAAATAATTATCTCTCAATATTTCCTTATTTTCACTAAAATCTTGTCTATTTTAAACCATATTTTGTTTGCTTGCGACATCAATATCAAATTTATATTTCATTTTTCAGCCCGTTGACTTCTTTTAGTTACGTCAGTTATTTCAGGGAGTCTGTACACTTGAATTAACAATATCATCCTGCAAAGAAATGGATGTTACGCTGTTGTAATTTTAGTCAGGTTTTAAATAGAGGGGTGCGTCGGAGGGTTTTTAAGCCGATGAAACACAAACTTCTAATTTTCTCAAGGGCTGCGACTATCAACCCTTTCACATAGCACTGTTTATTATTACACTTACCGGCCGAGGCTCTGTCAACCAGGTCTTTTTGCTTAAAGTTTGTGTCGCGCAACAAAAAAGAGAGACAATTTGCACAAAAATTGTCTAGAACCCACAACTAGACCTGAAATTCAGCTTCAACTACATGACATATAGCGGTGTCGTTGCATCAATTATTACTACAAATACGTGTAATCGCAAAACCTCCCGGGACTGTAAAGGGACAGCGGCTGCCATTATTTTAAACGGCTTTTACCAGGTGTTTAAACGTCGTTGACTTTTATACAGAAATCTCACTGCTTTTCAAATGCAACTGAGTTATACATATGAATCGTATTGAGTTTTCTGTCAAAACAAAGTCACCACCAGCCTTAATCCCTCCACTCAAAGGCTAGGTTGCTTATCTTACAAGTCTTCCTTCCTTTAACTAACCAACAGCCGGGGAGGAGTTTGCCCTTTAATTCACTCTACTTTTTTACTTCGAAAATAGTCCATCTGAGCTTAAGTGCAGACGGTCAGATCAATTTTTTTAAAAATTATTTTTTTATATGGTTAATTTCAGTTAGAAAGTGACGATGTGTATTGTATTCCATGTTTGACATGATCACAACTGAAAAACCCCTTAGCTATGTGAGAAGGCGTATAACAACTTACCATAATCTTCCAAGCAGAATTCATCTCCGTGGATGATAACTTTGTTGTTACCAAAATATTTTGGTTTGGGAAGGTTGTTTGTATCGCAGTAATTCTCCAGAATCTGTCTCGGTGTTCTGGAATCGCGCCACTTGTTAATTCCTGATCTAAAATATTATGTCGGACAAGAAGGAGGCTGCTCGTTACACGAAAAAATTCTGATCAGTAACTATGAAAAATACACAATGCATGGCTGATCCTTAAACGCAACCAAAAGCTTAACAATATAAAATAGATTCTTATAAATTTTTGGCAAACGCTCTTGTTAAACGGCTTGCTTGACTTTTTTCTGATATCTTTAAAAGTCAATAGCTCTTTAACTTTGCATTAACTGAGTTATTTCTTGTGTTCGAGAGTTATGGTCTATGAAAGTACAGAGCATGAGTTTAGAATCTGTTTTCCTTTTAGTTTTCGTTAAAAGACAAAACTACGTACGTGCAGTAGGACTGGGGCAGGCCACACGTGGCACCAAACTTAGACAGAAATCTGTTCTCCAAATCAACAACAGTTTCCCCAATCTTGTCGTCTTTACCAATAAAATCATAGTCCATGACAGTGATGTTCAAGTCCTTACATATCGGTATAAACGCAGTCAGTTCGAACATTCTGAAAAATATGTCATGGATTAAAAACCACTTAGTATGATTATCAGTACATAATGGAAACATGGATGTGAGAATGAATAATCTTATATAACCAGTGATAGTCATTTCCTGGGATTCTGAGAGGGACGCAGCAAACTCAATCATCTCGTCTGTGAAACCGTGGATGTAAGAATATTTCAGCTAGTATTTCCTGAGAATACATGCATTTTACCTTCTCCTCCTTTGGCGAGAAAACGTGGCTCTAGCGAGTCGTGACATTTTGCTAGCAATATGGCGTCCGCCGAAGCTAATACGTTGCGTTAGTACAAACAAATAAAAACAGGTACAAAACAGCTCAATACTTACTTCCCAAAAATTGGATTCAACGTGTTAGGAATGTACTTGTCTGATTCTTTTATTTTCGTCTTTCCGAGGGTAACCACTAAATATGGATCGGCCTGTCGGATTAAAAACATTTTCATAGTCATTTAAAAGAAGAAAATACCTTTTTTTATAAGACACAACCGGTTCCAATCTCGGTAGTTCGGCATTTACTAATCTCTGCTTCTTGTTGTCGTTGTTGTTGTTAAAAAATAATAATAAAAATGACAGTACATGTACCAGTGCAAACTCAGAGTAAAAGAACTACCTAGCTTCTCTTTAAAAAATCGGTGGCTGCTAGAGGCAAGAAAACGTTTGTACAAATTTCTCGGAAGAGCTAAAAGAAAGATCTAGTAGTACTTACGAGTCCATTAGGGTCCATGGGCTGAAGATCAATGGCCTATTAAACGCAGAGAAAAATCATCAGTTCTAGTTGCATAAATAGAAATATTGAGCACCACCGCACTTGTTTACGGCAAACGGTAAGGATATAAACCACTTGATTAATTTTTGCGCTATTTAACACGTTTGCTGTTTGTTGTTTGCCTTTTCAAAGTGAAGAGTTTAATTTTCATGTTCGCGAAGTCACTTTTCACTGACTTTTTCACTGGAGTCATAGTGCCAGATCGTACGGGTCCCTAATGTTAACATCGGGACAAACGTCTGCTGACATAAAAGTTAAACCTCGCTCAACTTTTAAGTTTTGTTTACGGGTGGCCTTTCATTTATTGTCTTTATTTCACTTACGCACGTACATTTTACGTGCGTTCATAGTGGAAATCAACCCTCAGTGAAACTCTGTCAAACGCCTTAAAATCTGAAATTTGCAAATTTTTAATTGTTTGAAAGCAAAGGAAAATATTGCCCCGAAAAGTCGAAAAAAATTACAGTACGGTTGTATGGTGAGGGGCAAGTTCAGACACCCCACCATACAAACGTCTGTAAAATCTCGCGACTTTATGGAGCATTATCTTTGTTCTCTTTAAACGTATCGTCTTTAAACTTGGTAAGTAACATCATTTTAACGCCCTCTTTCCGGCAGTGTAGAAGGATATTCGCTTATTGCTTCTTATCAACAGTTGAAAGAACCGTGTAAGGCTATTCTCACTTATTTCTGCACGGCGTTATCAGTGCAATGGTGCATTATCATAAATAATGCACACCTCAAGTACACACAGTATTCGAAGTGGACAGACTGCAAATTATAGTACGTAGTTGTTAAAAAATATATCTACGTGTCGTAACTGTTCATCAGTAGGATGCCTAAAATGTGTGCAATTCCACAATTGGTTTCGGCGCCATTAACTGTACAACTGTAAATGAACGTACCCGGATGATGTACACGCGGACTAGACACTCCACAGGTTCACTGGGTGGTAAATTTTTTAAGATACGAGGCGGAAGAGGTAGATTGGGATCACTCGGCAAAGGATAAACGTGAAAAGAGCCCTACAAAAATGTAACGCATGTAAATACGAAAATGCAATCATGTGTACAAAACGTCTGTGAAACAAAAACATATCAACTGAATTATTGTGAATTATTAAACAGTAAAATTACAAATTTGATAAAAACTACTGCTCGTCAGCTAATTTTTAAATTTAAAAATTTTATAAATTTTACACTACTCATTGTTTCATTTCTCGAGTACCAGGCATAGTGCCCTTGGGCTTGTCATTGTAAACGCGCATAGAGATCGCGCATACAGATCGAAATCTGGGAAATGTTCGCCTGTGGTATCTAAATCCTCGGCTTCGAAATCCAAAATACAGCTCAAGGAATCCGGGATCCCACAAACAATTGGAATCCGGAATCCAAATTCCACTGTTAAAAATCTGGAATCCAGTATCTAGAATCCGGAATCCACAGCGTGGAATTCAGACTCCAAGACTGTCTTGGATTCCCTTATATGGGGGCGACATCTATAAACATCTATACTACTCCTAAGATCTACGTAAAGTTCAAAGACTACCTTAATTTTCCTTATGGGGAGCATTGTTTAAAGATCATTAACAAAACGTTACTTGTTCTCTATGGCAAATAGGCCAAAACGCAATCAAATTAGTTACCTTGAATTCGCCGACAACCGTTGCATCTTCCTTTGGCTTTACCTTGCCGCGGTGTAGTTCAAATGTCTTAACCAAATCTTGAAATCCTTCATAGATGTCAACTTTCTCCAGCTCTTTTTCGTATATCTAAAAAAAAAGCATTTTCTCATTAGCTCTCAAAATTCCCATCATTGCATCCCGACTAGCGGTTGAATTCCACTATCGCGTAATTTTTCCATGCGAACGCATGGAAATTTCACACGCGTAAGTAAAATAGAGGCAGTGTTAGAAAGGCCACGCGTAAAGGTAAAAGTTGAACCATACATCGCCTCTATTTCATTTATGCGCGTAAAATTTACGTGGGTACGCATGGAAAAATTACGCAACAGTGGAAATCTACCTTAGGACAGGTTAACTGGGCACTTTTTTAAAAAAAGCAAACACACCCACGCTGTTCCCGTATGAGTGAGTCCAACGCTAAATTCAAGACAAAATAAAAGCAAACGCACTAGATAATTGGAGTATTTATTGAAAACTTCAAAATTATACGTCGAGTGGGATAAAAAATACAACTTTTCATAGATGAGGTAGTAAATGAAAACGATAAAGCAAAAATAATGCAAATTACAAAAAATACCTTTCGCCATATTTCGTTAAATATGTTCAGTGCTGGAGCAAGGCAATTCCATACTCAAGTTATAGTTTGCGACTAGATATAAGTGAATTGCAGAACCTCGTGGGCAGGGGATATTAAAGCCAAAAGTAGAAAGAATGGGAAAGAAACCTTTTCCGTGGATGAAAAAAGCTGCGAAGTAGAACGCAAAACATATGTTTTCTTATCTCGATTTTCGCTATTAATTTGAAGATAATGGTTCGAGTGGATTGCATTTTGTCTTAAAGGTACTTCTGTGTAGCTCAAAGCATTTCTTCACCTTTCGAAACGGCCGTTAAAACAACCGGGCCAAGTTCTGAAGTTTGTGACGGTTTTTTTTTTACACTCTGCCTTGAATTGTTGCTAGTCAACTGCGGACGCCCACACACACACACACACACACCAAAAGCTTTATTTGCATGACCATAAAGGAATTACAGTATTAATTGCAAAAGCTATAAGTCTAAATTTAAGTACTAATTCAACTAATTAGTACGTGCAAAACATTACAAAACGTTACAGTTCTCATTCATTCATTCATTGATATTATTTTGGTTCTTAATTCAAAGCATTGCGAGATAAATGAAACTAATTGGCAGTTAATTAAATAATCAGAAGAATTCATAAGAAGAGATATTAGTATCGTGTGAAAGTGATTTGAAGTCAGGTATTTTAGTTTCTAGTTTGGAGAAAAACATGTCTCTGATCTGAGAATAAGGGGCATATAGAAAGAAAGAGCCAAATATAGATGGCCAAAGCAAGATCACACTTCGCTAAGCGATCCTGGAGGGAGTCAAGCGCGAAGCGAATTCCCACCAAATTATAAACCACGTTACGCTCGAAGACCTTTCGGACTTCTACCTACTTCTGGCGAGGACTAGAAATTACGAAATGTCAATAGCGGATGGACCTACCATTAATTTATCGTAGGCTTTTTCTATGTAGTCGCCACACTTGTCGTAATCTTCCATGGAAGCGTAGTATTTGGACCACCAATCAATGTCCGCCTCCATCAACTCCTATAAAACAAAACTTGCTCGATGCTTACGATAATATAAATAAAAACATTATTTACCTCTAAAAATCAGTGAAAAGAAAAATTTTTTGACTGCGTTCCTGCAGCTGAGCAACTATAAAAACTGGGCGCGTTCGATTGGCCGTATTCGGGAAAAGGAATACATGGAATCAATTCTCAGAATCAATTGTCTTTGTATTAACTGAGTGGTAAATCTAAAAATCTAGTGGGAATTGCAGTGCTTATTAAGGTTAATCTAACATTCCAATGGTCCAGAAATTCGCGGTCGAACGATTTTTGAGTATTCTGACTATCACTCGAACGCTCCTCACTTAACCTCCTAGTCAGATCTCCCATGGCCAACGGGCTTTACAGAAATAATGAGATCTGGGCTCCAGGTAAACGGCAAGTAGTCTCTTTTCATTGACTTGTCACGGCAAGACTATCAGGAGCGACTGGCTAATTATGTAAGTGGTGTGCAGGTAAATAAAATGCGTTGGGAAACACGACACTACCAACTGAGTCAGGCAAAAGCGGTTAACATTGCAATTATCACACGGGAAGTAAATAGCCTGGCATCGGGTATGCAAGGGAAAACTTTTCTCAGAAAAATTAATTACCCAGTTAACAAAGACAAGTTGCCATCAAACTTGTACTAACTACAAATCTAATCCAGTGCCGTATGTGATAACCATAGCTTTTGTGAGGAGCCGGAGGGAGACGAGTTTCTTACCGTTGATTCTTTCTCATCAGCAATGTCGATCAAAAACGATTCAGAATCCTCTTCAAAGTCTGCGCCACCTTAAAAATATCATTTTCATCAAAATTAGTTTTGCATTGGCGGAAGGACCCAGGCCACCGGGCCCTCACCTTATTTTACGACTAAACTGAAACCCGCAAGGCCGAGAAAAGTGATTTTGGAGGCCGGGTTTCTCTCTTATGTCAGGGTCCGGATAATACTCGGACTTCAGAATTCACCACTACCACTACCACTACTACTACCACTACCACTACCACTACCACTACCACTACCACTACCACTACCACTACCACTACTACTACCACCACTACTACTACTACTACTACTACTACTACCACTACCACTACCACTACCACTACCACTACCACTACCACTACCACTACCACTACCACTACCACTACCACTACCACTACCACTACCACTACCACTATCACTACCACTACCACTACCACTACCACTACCACTGCCACTGCCACTGCTACTGCTACTGCTACTGCTACTGCTACTGCTACTACTACTACTACTGCTACTGCTACTGCTACTGCTACTGCTGCTGCTGCTGCTACTGCTACTGCTGCTGCTGCTGCTACTGCTACTGCTACTACTACTACTACTACTACTACTACTACTACTACTACTACTACTACTACTACTGTGTTTTACAAGGCGTTAGAAGTAACTTACTGAAGACATTGAAGTGTCAATAAATATTATTTATTAATCAGGAGCCTTGGGCTCTCTTATTGTTTTATTTACAGTTAGCTATTTATTTTGCCCTCGCACGCCTCTCACTAGTCTCTCTCGCGGCCGTTTTTTGTTCTTCCTCCCGTGACGAACCAATGAAAGCTTTAATTGCAATTTACAGGTAAAACGACTGTTTCAATAATGAAAACAATAGCCACTTGTAAAAGTTTTATTAAATGGACCCAAGCATCACAGTGTCTTTGTGCAAACCTGTGTCTTCACCAGCATCAACATCATCCAGTGGCAAACATCTGAAGGGCCTCAATGACTTGATACAGTGAACACCAACAACGGGGTGGCGTCCAAATGAGCGGTTGTCTCTAACTTTGATGTTCATCGGTGGTGTATAAAGCTCTTCCTTTGGGAGATACTAGAAAGAGACGGCAAATATTCTTAGATCCTGTTTATATGCAGAGAAAGTTGTCCCGAGTAGAAGGGTCACCCCCTAGACTTGCCTACAAGTCGTGCTCAAATTTTTCCCCGAGCGCGAAGAGCGAGCGGTAAATTTATGTTTTCTGCGGCAAAAGCAAGAGAGAGCTGGGGCCAACTAACGGAACCGGAAATGAGAAGCAAAGGACTTCTAGGTCACTCTCCTACCCGAGGCTACCCTGGGCGAGCCAACTTTTCTTACCTTATTTCCTTACAAAACGTGGCGAACCGTTTACATTACAAACAAAAAGTTGGCCTGGCTAGGCGGGTGACCCTTTTGTCATGGTAGGGTCACCTTCTTAGCGGGACCATTTTCTCCATATAAACGCTTCGGTTCGTCCAGCTGGGTCAACTTGGTCAAGGCGATACAATTAGTGCATGCGCGAGTGCTGTTTGTAAAAAATCAGAGCATCTGGGAGTGCTCTTAGCTATTTGATGAACAGGGTCAGCTCTTTTTCATAAAAACGCTCGCTAAAGTTGATTCAGCAAATAAGGCGAGTGACCCTTCAACTTATCTCCATACAAACGGGGCTTTAAAAACAATACATCTGCTATGGTTTCTTCACATAAAGATTACTGCGCGTCGCTTTTCAGTCGATAACAAAACGTTTGACTTCAACAAATTTATAGCGGAGCTCCACGCGCGCGTGGAGAAATTTTCGAGAAAAACACTTTCAAATTTTGATCAGCGCGCGCTAGCCGGCTATGAAGAATTTGCTCAGGGGAATCAAATCAATGAGAAAAGGAGAAACAGATTAAATGAAAAAAACGTTATAGTTATGGTAATTTCATGCATTTTCGGCTGATATTTGAGCCTTCCTATTGGAAACAGCCCCTTACCGTGTCAAAGAAGAAAATTGGTTGATCAAAATTTGGATTTTTCTGTGTGTTCTTGATAATGGAGGAGTGGATGGTATGGCCTCCGCATTCAAACTCAATACTCGGTGATGAAACATTTGCCAACTGAAACTTCTTCATGTTTCTAACGCCCCAGCAAAGAACCTAGACAGGAAAAGAACATGTCAGTAAACGAATGTTGCGAAAACCATCTCAAATTAACAAAAAGCTATCCACAATGGAAAAACAAATCATGCAATTATCAGCATAACAGTACAAGATACAATTGTTGACCGATGTAGGGCTTTGGTGTCTCCATGCTTTTATCTGCTAGCCTTTCTTCCTATTTTCTCCTGTGTAAATCATATTCTCTATATTTATGTTATACCTCCTATATTTAAAGTACGTTTTCCATAAGAAATGATTTGAATAACGGACGGATTTGAACTTAAAGTCAAACCCAGCCTCAAATTCAAACTGGGGTTTGGTTGCTGAGTTCGCAGGGGTGAAATATGTGAATGTTTCAGGGATCATTTCTTTCAGGTAGCATGCTTCTTCTATCGCCGGTTGCCCAGCACGGCAATTCCAAAAGCAAATGCAAATGAGAAACTGCCAACTTGAATCTGAAGCTTTCCGTTTGCCTTAAACGTGATTCTAAATCTCCATAATATTTCAGTGCATTTTATCCTAGAATACGATAAATCGAATGCTCTTTAGTTTATTAGAGTTCTACAAAGCACCTCAATGGCTGTACGCTGCATTGCGGGCCTTATGCCACTTGGTACAATGTATAAACTCGGTCTGTTTTCTTTGGTAGGTGGAAAGTACGGCAAGTCATTCCCTTCGTCCTAAAAGACAAAAATAAAAATAAACGACTGTAATGCCGAGGATATGACCATATCAAACCACATCAAACGTCCTGACAAAATCTCAAATGACTAAATCTAAGATCTCACTGGCACTAGCCCTCTGCTATCGACGGTCATCTCACGACAGCTCCAGTTCCTTGGCCACATTTTTCTAATGCAGAAGGATGAACCCGCTAACATCTTTGTGTTTTATGAGTGCCCCCCGCCAAAAAAAAGGAGAAGACCCCTCGGGAGACCGCATAAGTCCTTTTCCAGTTAAGTCCAGGAATGGATCCATCCTAATACGCATTTCTAGGAAGATGATATTGTGCGCATTTGGGGCCATTTGGAGACGACTTACAGTCGACTGCTCTTCGGTCGACCGATGATGATGATGATGACGATATCTCGTGATAAATACTATTCATATTTTCCTCACCAGGAAGAGCTCAAACGCAACCAGGACTTCACCACCATCATCAACTCCTTTCTTGATTGGTTCCCACATCAACTTCGGAGCAGGTGGGCCTTGCCCTTTAAGCTTCACGACTGGAGATTCCACGCAACGGCCCATGTACTCGTCTTTCCCCTAGAAATGATATTACAAAGCTATTAATCAGGCAAGAAATGAAACACTTATCGTAGCAAGATATAATGATCTCCTCTATAGATCTAGTAACGGTTTTATAAAAAGCATCGTCAGGGACCTGGAGGAGCGTATTTTGGATTGGTCGGACTAGCGCGCGAAAATAACAAACGGGGTTCGGGGGCAAGCTTCCCAGAAAGCTTTGAAATTTAGAACTTCTAAAATCACAGGAAATACGTTTATTTCAATCTTTATCCTGACAAAAATTTTGTCGAATTTTTATTTCCATTTTGTTTGTTTTCTGCACAAAAGCGTACAATTGCCCTTGCTTTAAACATAAAGATTAGAAGTACTTTTGTAAAAGCAAAAAAGCACTGATTCCACAAAAAATTATTGGTGGGGCTATAACCCACCCAGCCTCATAGCTCAGCTGCGGTTCGCGATAGTGCTTTACGAGAAAATTGTATGAGAATACAGATATACAGTTGTATGACTGTAATAAACCTCTCGCCAAAATGTTAAAGGCAGGTCCGACCAAGCTCCTAAATGGTAAGAGAGTTCCTTTGCTGCCAATCTCTTTATTTCTTTTTTATAAAATGATCAATGGCCAGAGGGTTCATCTGTTGCTTATCCGTGTAAAGATATTTTCTTTAGATATCCTACCACGGCGTCTTTGTCAAACAACTCCAAAACAACTCGAGGTGGAGACTTTTCCGTGATTTCAGGACTTCCATAAATAAGGACATCTTCAAAAATCAGCGTCTGGTCCCAGGTGGGACACAATGTCCGGGGGCGAGTCTCTGATACTTGACTCTGATTAACAAATACGATACGCACGTAGGGGTCTGAAATAAAGGAGGAAACAAGTGGAGTTTCTTAGATATATCAAATGATCTTGTGAACAATGCCTAGTCGGATTTCACATTGGCATGGTAAGGCCAACTCAACATGGAGGGGTTCCAATTTAAGTATTGCCTGAAGATTGTTAAATCCTCTACTAGACCCACTAGTTCCTTAAAAGTCTAAATCCCAAGAGTCAAATGGCTGAAACAGCTGCGAGACGGTTTTTTCTTATTTTTTTATCCGAGAAGATTAAATTCCGACCGACCAAACGAAGCTGGTACCTAACTGAACAATTGAGCTATCCAGTCGGCGGTTATGATGATGACACGTAAAGTTTTTGCTTGAGCACAACAATTTAAAAATACGAAACTTCGTGAAACTTTATGAAATGATAATGTGAAACAAATACCGGTGATAAATAACTGCTCATAAAATAATTTGATCAAACAAGGCCTGCTGCTGTCTTTTTAAATAGCTAAAACGTGTGTTCGCATCTATTGAATTTCGAAAACAAAGGTTCAATTTAGTCGTCCATTGTTACGGATGGCAGGGATGGACATGAATTGAAAAGTAAAAAATTGGGCAATATTTTAAAGTTTTGATGCTGTAACTGCAAGCATGCATCACCAAAAAATTATTATGGTTTAGTGCTCCCTAATGAAATTTGTTTGATATCCTCGTCACCCTACAAGGGGATTTTGTGAATGGATAAAGGCACTAAATATATAACTTTGCACAGCAAAAAGATGTCAAAGATGACCTAAAACAGCTGGATATCTATGAACCATAATCGACAATAGGGCCATTTATACGAGGAAAAATAAGACGCGTCTTACATAGGACGCGTCTTAAATAAGACGCGAACTTTCCTTATAAACGGCACATTTCGTCTAAAATAAGACGCGGCTTAGCTAAGACGCGTCTTATTTCAGAACAGCACTTAACACTTGTTCTTACATAAGACGCGTCTTAGCTAAGACGAGAAAAACTTCGTATAAATAACCTTAATGTGTTGTCTAATCTAATTCCTCTAAAAACGACGAGAGAAGAGGTCTGTGGCTAGTAATATGAGTCTATTCGATGGATTAAAATTGCATTCTAAGGCTTGAAATATAATTCAAAGTTACGTTAGACCAAAAAAAATTAACATATTTGCTGGTCGTCTTGTTGGAACAATTGGTCAATTAAACGTTTAAAGTGAAACTGAAAGTTTTTTTTAGCCACTTTCGTTAGTTTCCAAACGTACCTGATAGTCCATCGGGATCTGAGGGCAGCAGGTCCCGGCCTTGAAAGAGGTACACCCTAAGCTGGTACTTGTGGGGTTCTAAGACACAGACGAAACAAACACCCGGAAGAAAGACTTTCTCGAGATGTTTAAATTGACAAAGCAAGAGCTCGCAATTTTGGCCACTTCTAACGTAGGATTACTACGGGTGTAGGAATCTGATCTATTAACCCAAAAAATCTGAAATCCGAACGGCCGCAGAAATGAGCAACAAAAAAAGTTAAAATGATGTTCATATAATCATTATTTCATCGTCAAAAATAAACCGGGTTAATGCTATATTAAAAAATCCATGACACTAAATTTGCTTCTTCCAATCGATTAAGTGTTATTTTTTAAGAAAAAGGTAATGGTGTCTCAGTGGTCATGTACATGTACCTTTAATTTCTTATCCTGTGTTTCTCATGGGTTGTAAAATACGATTTTGGCGCCAGAAAATATTTCCTCGATCGTACTATTTTCGGAGGCAAATTTCGTTTGGTAGTTTTAAAAACCTTTAATAGCATAAATTTGACAATTTTGACAGTCTTGGTAACTTGCGTATGCGCCCGCTCACTGTTTTATTGATGTTAAGCTTGATATGGCAGTTATCATAAATTATTATTTATTTTTCACGTACTTTCAAATGTAATGTACATCCTTGGCACCATCATATGTCCTTCTTTACCCTGTTGGTTGGTCGAAATAGTTTTAGAACAATCTCACGGATAGAATTTGTGGGACGTGGAAGCACTAAACAATGGGCTATTCCTTTGCTATAATCACGGCGCTGTTTTTGTGCGGTCAAAGCGCTATTATTGATGTTAGGTTGCCTTGTCAATGGGCTACCATTGCACAGCCATTGTGCTATCCTTGCGCCATCATTGCCAGTACTTATTACGCTATCCTTACTCTATTTGCTATCATATCTTGGCCTGTCATTGGTCAAATTCTGTTAGAAATGTGCTTATAATAGTCATAACAAGAGAAAACAGCCGACATTTCCTAACGCCACCACTGGTTTCCCCAAGAAATGACGTCTGTAGAACGAGCGTAGAAATTCCTTTACTGATGACGCGATACTACCCAGATCTGGTTAGTGCTTCTGATTGGTCGTGCCCCAGGGGATTTGTTTCAACCAATCAGAAGCCCTACTCAGATCTGGATAGTGACACGTCATCAGTAAGGAACTTTTACTGTCTTTCAGACACCATTTCGCGGGAAACCAGTGGTGGCATTGGGAAATGTCGGTTGTTTTCTCGGGCTAAGTGTAAGAGTCCAAGCTAATTTTAAATTACTTCCTAATTCCGTAGAACAATGGTTTTTAATTATCACGAGAGAAAAGCCTGAAGAAGAATAACGAATACTAGTAACATATTACCGGTAACTTTTTCCCTCACCTCTTCACTGATGTAAAAGACGGCGGGTGCAGTCGGATCAGTTTGTACCATCTTACGATGCCATCTTCGGCGTCGAACTAAATCTCTTGTTCGACATTTACTGTGAAACTTGGATGAAAACACTGTCGCGAACTCCCAGCCTTCTTCGTCTACTTTTTCCTGGCCCTGAAAGAGTTAATACATCATGTACTCCGGCTCCATACTAGGGTGTTTTCCTTAAACTAATAATCAGGTCAGTCGCATGATTACAGAACGGATGGGTCTCCGGGACTTCCCGTCCAGTCCCGTCTGCACTAACTGGGCTGAATTCTAGTCTCTGTTTAAGGCCAGAATTAAATTAAAAGAAAATAACCGTGAACTAAATATGACGAGATTCACCTTGTCTTCTTTTTCAGTACTCTTCACCAGATTTCTACCGCGCACCCATCTTCTTCTTCTTGCCATGTGGTATCTCTTTTCTACAGCTACGTAACTCGCAACAGTTGTCTCCACTGCATATTCCCATCCTAAGAGTAGACAGGAAATGAATTGAAATGCAGCTAGGTAAGATTTATCAAAGTGTATACTTTCCCTCTCTCTATTTGCTCTTCTTCTGATAACATCTCGTACCTTATCTCCAGATTCATAAGTTTTGACCATAGAATATAAAGTTATGATTCGAGCTCCTTGGTTCCCACGCTGCACGTATACGTTAGTCGTTTTAGAATTCGGGTCTTGAATTTTGAATGGAAATCAAGCTTTCTGAAAATGCCGGTTGGTCATCTTCCCTTTGATGAGGATTATTCCATTTAGCGAGAATCCTTCAGTTTGAAAGAAAAACTCGGGTAAAAGGTGATGTCATTTCATTTGAGTTTTCATTTTCTGCCTTCTTTTATATCTAAAACGTTAGGTTATCAGATCATGTTTCGCTTGAAACTGTTGACTTGGTGGTCGGTGGCGGGGCGCGGGTCGCAGGCGGGCGAGGGGTTAACCCAACCCGGCAGGGATTGTCACGACCGTCCTGTATTGCCAATGACTTGACCTTAGCAAAAAAAATTACTCGTTAAGGGCAAACCACATCTTCATGACGAACTAAAATGTGTCACTAGCTTTATTTCAACATCTTCCCCCTTTAAGCGGTCATTTTGGCGATAAGCTTATCTTTGGTGACCTGTTCCTGGTGGCTTATTTAGCTAAATTTCGCGGCACGGTTCCTTCGAACATGGTCCCTTTGTTATTTTCATGTTCGAACCTTTCATGCCTCCCTATTTTTGCAACTATGAGAAAACTATGAGAAAAAAAGTTTTGTCTAAACACCAGCTTTGAGTAGTCTCCTCCAGAGGCTTAATATATTTTATAAAACGGGTGGGAGAATGAGGAGAAAAAGGGGAGTGACAGTAATTGCCGACCGTTGCCTGCAGAGGAGGCTTAGCTTTTTAAGCGGGTCCAGAATTAACAAACACCATTGAACGAAGTTCAGCAAATGCTGCCGTCCTTTGTAACATTACCCTATTTATAATCATTTCAGCTAACTTTATTATCGTATAATACCATTAAAGATGGTATATTGGCCACTTAACCCCAAAGAAGCGGTTTTGAAAGAAACAAGTGAGTTGTTACCATCTTCATCCACTGCTCTGTTAGCATCAACAGTCCAATCGGATGTCCAAGTCCACCCCTCAGATACCACTATCTCGTCTTTACTAGTGACCCCATTCCCATGCTGCAACAAGAACACAGCGCAACTTCTTAACCTGATCGTCTACTCTTCTCGGATGACCGAGAAGATATCTGGATGGTTTTATGAAAACTGACCTATCCCCATCTCGTCAGAGATGTTCAGTTGCTTGAGTGAATTTTAACTCGACTTTCGAGACAAGGCACTGTAAGTGAGCAATAAGTGGTCGAACCTCCGCTAATCAAGAGGTGGCTGTTGTGGGTTGAAGTATCACAATCAAGTTAAAAGAAATATTCTTTCCCTTTAAGTCTCAATAGTGAACAACATCAATTTTCTCCTAACAATATCTATACATTGTCAAGAGATAAAATTATGAGAATTAATAAAATGATCTCCAAAGAGAAACGGCCATGATCTTTTAGCAAATTCTCTCAGCTAGTTCTTTAAGGAAATGTATAGAGATCAGTTTGGAGATTTTGCATGTGGATATTGGGGCGTAAAGGGTTAATTAATTTATTTACATAAAAGCAACAAAACGCTGTCAGTGGTTTCATGACTTTGTAAGGGTTCCACGGTGGCTTGTACAACAGGTTTCATACAAGTGAATGGCAGGGAAAACAGTCGTATAGAATGGATAAATAGTAACGACGTATCCCTGCATCTTACGTAGACTAGAGCCAACTACTCACGATGTCTGTCCATTGAACTTCAGCACCTTTCCAGGTTTGTCCTGGGAGGCGGTCTTCATTTTCAAACAAGTCTTCTAAAAAGCTCTTGCAACCCGTGTCTTTTTCATATGCTAAGCTGTGGAAAAGACAAGTTGAACGCTATAATAAATTCAACCCTGAATCATTCTCAGGAAAGCTTTACTCAAAGACTTCCTCATCATATTAGGCATTTGCGTGAGGTTGGCCCCAGATAAATCACAGTTAAAGTTTGCCTTAGATTCTGAATTAAGAGGCTTTCAGATGTATGGCCAAGAGCTGCTAAACCATTTCAGGATGATCCCTATTATTTCTTCAATACTCTTTCAAGAACTTGTGGAAAAAGAGACATGGTACAGAAAATATGACATCGACGAACATTTCACTGATGGAATGATCAATTCAGCAACTCTTTATGTCTAATTTCAGCGTAGGGCGCTTACAGAAATCAGAACGGGTCGGCCAAACAAGTTATTTGAAATTGAAAGAGGCTTTTCTAGACAGTTATATGACATAGCGTAAATCACTGTCGAGAATAACAGTTACGAAATAAACTGATTTGGTCCGACAGTTGTGTCTCATTAAAAACGAAATTCTCTTTACGACGGGTCTGGTCTGGCAGTCCCGCTCTGACTGATGGTTGACGCCCTCATCTAAGTTCAGAAGGATAAATTTAAAATTCGTAATGGCATCACTTGTTTAAGGCAGGAAAAAAAAGATGATGACAGTACAGCTTCGACTTGAAACAAGCTGACAGTTAAACCATACCTTTGCTTCCTTCTTTTTCAGCACAAGAAATTTATATATATTTTTTGATCTCATGATCAGTTTAAATGAATGAATCTGACTGTTAGTTTGCACAAACCTTAGTTCTGGGTTAATAAACCAGTCTCCTTCGAAACACCATCCGTCTGGTGCAGTAAATGATTCTTTCAGAAGCTTCAGCTGTAAGAAAGTAATTTAACATGGAAATATTGAGTTACTATTTTTTTTTTTTTAAAATCCAGTTTCTCTTAAGATTTGTTGGTTCTTTCTTTAAACGTTTGTTTGTGTCTTTAGCATTAATTATTTTCTAAGTATTCATTATCATATTTATTCATCCATTCATTTCAACAATTACTGTGACTCCCTTCATCATGCAATCGATCATACTCCGTAGATTTCCTCGCGCGGCCAAAATTTTCTCCGAATTCGCACAAAGGGGCCTACTCGCAAGCTAAAATGAGGGCGAAACTGCTGGCCATGGCGGACACCGCGCAAGTGATACGGCGGTGTGTATGCGTTATGTACTGCTGGCCATACCAATTATCATGTAGCGAAAAAACGGCCCGAGTAAAATGAAAATAGAGTTTGCAAAATGACGTGTAACATGTAATAGATTGACATAAATTTTGCGGATAGCCGGATAAGAGTTGGCGTTGGTTTGACATTTTTAACAACAAAAATTAAAACCCTAACCCAAAGTAGATATTCATCTATACGACATCACGTATAATATTAGTTGACGTAATTCCTCATGTCTTGCCACGTGCTATTCCGCAAACTAGCTTCGACTCGAGATCACTAATGTTCTCCCTTTACCCTCAACGGAGGGAAAGTCTTCAGAGTAAGCTGTTTATGCTTCGCTTGATAACTGAAACTGGTCTTTATTTTTTGTAGCGTGAACTCTCACCTTTCCACCGGCGTTTGACCAGGCAGGGCGAGGAAGGCCTTTTGCTGTCCAATTTCCAAGCACGCTCATCTGGTTCTCATACTAACAAGAGGTAAGATTAAGACGGAATCCATTAGGAAATTAAGTAATAATTGAAATTTTCATCGGACAAAATCCTTGTACCATAATAATTGTTATTTATTTAAAGCATATTGCATTCTCCTTTTTTCATTCTTTTCAAGGGCTAAATATGTATTTAGTTTTATGTAATAACGCCAAAGAAAATTTCTCATAGGAGCCCGAGAAAACAAATTTCAAAAGCTTTAAACTTCACAAAATGAAATCTTATACTCATGACATTTTGCCTGTGTTTTCACAATTCCTGTGAAATTTAAAATCAGGGTTCACGGGCTCTCATATAAAGAGATCGTCTTTGACGTTGGTAACTAATTCTATCAATAACCCTTAAAAAGTAAAAAAACGAATGCACGATATGGCTTAAATTAATCTGGTGCAAGGTTTTTTCAGCTGAAAATTAAAATTACGACAACTTCCTGATGGATTTCGTCTTAAAATGTTAGATTTTTACCTTGAAAATCGGAAATCACTAAGATCATGTGCTTGAAAATACTTACAGAACGGCAGGACCTTTTCCGGGTTACCATTTTGAAATATTTTCCAGTATTGCCTGGTAAAAATCCCGAAACTTGAAGCCCCTATTTCTATCATTTTGCGAAGAATTTAAACCAAATAAAATCAAATCAAAACCTTTATTCATACATGATGACGTTTAAAGCTTACTAGCTTGAGGGTTCGTGTATAGGAAATAAATAATTGTACAAATTTTCGATTAAAGTAAGTTAAAACACTAAAACATCTTGGAATACTTTTCAAAATTAACTCTTTCTAACAAGCTCACCGATGTTTCGACAATGAATTTAAGTAAAGAATTAAATGAAGTATTGAATTGAATATCTGAATGAATTGAATGAATTCAAGAATTTAAGTAATATGAACTTCGAAATTTTATTAAATGGTGTGTTAAGGAACTGGCTTTAACTATATAAAATGGCAGTCATCATGCACTAATACGAAAAGATGCCAAGCTAAAACAATGTATGATCACTATACCGTTTCTGCGAATACACAAACTTCGCCTTCAGTTTCCTGGCGGTTCGTCCAAGCCTCTTGATGTTCCTCGAGTCCAAGCCACAATATAACGCGGACATGAGCAGGGACTTCGGGGTAACCATCTATGTTAAAGCCTTTCTTTCCAGGGTACTGTGGAGGTTAAAATGGAGTTGTATTTATTTTAAGATAGCTTCAACAATAAAAAGACTGAGGGCGCATGACCATCGCTTTTTTTCTCTTCCATTTTCTTCCTCCTCGCTCTTTCTATTTTTCCTTTCCTTTTCTTTTGCTGACAGTGTGCTTTTCAAGCTTATCGTGCCCAAAAAAACTCACCTTCTAGCCTCTTTTCACTTAAATGGCTACAAAGTTCGCTTGGGTCGTTTTCAAAATTATTATTCTAATTTTTGTGCCTTCATACTGAACAGTGTTTAAGGCCAAAGACACTTCACTGGTAAGCGTGGAAATCGGCTCAATAAATAAGAAAAGTAAAAGAAATGCTGTTTCCAAATTCTTACGTTTTTGCGTTAGCCGTTTATCTAAAAGACGGTTCCTTGAAGTAGGACGGTAAATTTTCTGGCGGAAAAATGGTCACGTGCAAGTCTACCTGGTGTTTGCCGTAAGTGCGGTACTTAAGATTTTCTTGTTAACATAAAACCAATCTTACCTGCATAAATAGATTTAACACCTGTCCACAATGCTTGCCACGACAGTCCGAATGTTTGGAGTAGAGAACATCATAGGCCGGAATGCGGTGATATGCTATCCTTTTCTCTCCACTCAACATCCAGATAACAACGTCAGGCATACTGTTCTGGGGCTACGGATAAAAAAAATCAGCGAATAAAACCTTACACCAATTAATTCTAGTTGAAGTGCATCAAAGAGAAGGGAAATCCATTATGCGGTCTGTGGAAGGGCCTAAAGGGACAGGAGACGCATTTTATGGCAACGAAAAAGACAAGAAAACGTCCTGGTTTAGGGATTTATTCATATTTAAATTACGGTGCATATACAGCACGAGTAAAAAGAAATGCAGCGTTCTGAACTTTTAAAGGTATGTGCAAGGGGTACCATTTGTCAATAATAAAAGGAATACAAAACGAAAGGAGTACTCTGACTCCTGCCAAAAATGGTGTATAAAAGGGTGAGCGGTTGGACCTCGTGACGAAGCCTCCTGGCATAAAACTGTGTTCAGTACCCCCCCCCCCCGGGTTTTTTTTTGTTTATTCATAACTTTCTTTGGGTTTTTCGTGATGTGATGTGACTCCATACCTCAATTACAAGCAGCCTGAGGCTCGTCAACAGCTCTTCAGCAGCACTGATCGCCTCATCTACGTCTTCTGCCGTTTCTCGCAGGTGCATGGCATCTTCTAGGATAGATTTCTATATATGGAATACGCGGATATATAATTTATTTCATACGGTTAAGTCGTATCAAGGACAAGTCAGCAACAACAAGATAAGACGTTCTCGCACATGAGCATAAGCCATTATTGATTTTTGCACTCACTCTTCTAACGGTGTTTGATTTTATTATTTTCTTTTCATTTTTTAAGGTGGCTCCGTAATTAATACAAGAGCATTTAGCTGTGACAAAGTTTCCGTCATAACTTTTTCGATTTTAACGCGATGGCTGCGAAACTTTGCAAAGAACAACAGATATCATTCGGCAATAATACGGAATATTCCGATTTCATTAATGGTAAATATTTCTTGAGAAATTAGCGCTTAAAAGGACCCTAATGTTCAAAGAAAATCGCGTCTAGTAAAAATAATTGCTGATATTTTTTACTGAAATTTCTGGTATCGGCTTTAATTGATATAATAAATATGCCAGAGGAATATCAGAAAAATCGTTGGAGCAGAAGTCCGTAACTAAAAGTCGCTCAAAATTCAGCTGTGAAATTGTTTTGGAATTTCAAAAATATATTACTATCAGGAAGAAGGAGACACCAGTTTGAATTTTCGGGTCAAGTAAATTCAATGTTTGCTAATTCTGAAAACAAAAGCCGATTGCCTATCGTGCTATTCTTTAAAGGGTACTTTTCAGTTTTAGAAGCACTGTAAATTGCTCCAAAATTTGCTCTGACGTCGAATGACTTGTTCCCTCGACATTTTTTAAATATCCCTTGGCAGTTTTGGTTCAAACTCCTGCTACATACATTTTGATGTATTGCAATGCATCCTCAACGGCTTTTCCTGCTGTAAGCTTTTTCGAATTCAGGAAAAAGGTATTGGGATTGTAAGCTACGTTGTATCGAAGCTCAGATAGAACTGTCCAGCACCTTTGTTTATGACCAGAAAATGAGCACGAGCGGCAGCTCTGCGAGGAATTCGCACCTCACCCAGGGGGGACGAATGACAATGATGCCCTTGTCTGTGAACAGATCTGTATAAACATGTATTGCAGAGCAAAACATAATAATCAAGGAAAAAATACCCATTCATTGAAGGAAGAAGTGACAAAAATTTCAGAGTTGTAAATTTATTCACGGGCAGTATTTTTGCGATAATTTTATTTTGCACTGTGATGTCATTCGGTTCACAGGAGTGGTCATCATTGTCGTTCGTCCCCCCTGGGTGAGGTGCGAATTCCTCGCAGAACTGCCGCTCGTGCTCATTTTGTAGTTATAAACAAAGGTGCTGGACAGTTCTATCTGAGCTCTTATACGAGGTAGCGTCCAATCTCAATACTTTTTTCCTGAGTTGGAAGCAACGAACAGCAGTAGAAGTCGTTGAAAATGCCTTGCAATACATCAAAATGTATGCAGCAGGAGTTTTAAGCCAAAACTGCAAAGGGATATTTTAAAAATGTCGAAGAACAAGTCATTCTCCTTCAGAGCAAGGTTTGGAGCAATTTACAGTGCTTCTAAAACTAAAAAGTACGTTTTAAAGAATAGCACGATAGGCAATCGACTTTTGTTTTAAGAATTAGCAAACGTTGAATTTACTTGTCCCGAAAATTCAAACTGGTGGCTCCTTCTACCTGAAAGTAATTTATTTTTGAAATTACAAAACAATTTCACAGCTGAATTTTGAGCGACTTTTAGTTACGGACTTCTGCTCCAACGATTTTTCTGAAATTCCTTTGGCATATTTATTATATCAATTAAAGCCGATACCAGAAATGTCAGTAAAAAATATCAGCAATTATTTTTACTAGACGCGATTTTCTTCCAACAGTAGGGTCCTTTTAAGCGCTAATTTCTCAAGGAATATTTAACATCAATGAAATCGGAATATTCCGTATTATTGCCGAATGATATCTGTTGTTCTTTGCAAAGTTTCGCAGCCATCGCGTTAAGAACCAAAAAGTTATAACGGAAAATTTGTCACAGCAAAATGCTCTAGTATTAATTACGGAGCCACCTTAAGCGGTTGTCAAATTCTTTATTGATTTGGCGTTTGGATTACAGTTTACAGTCTTAAAATTATAGTTACTCATACAAAAACACTCACCAGTCCAGTTTCTCTTTTCTCTCGGATTTTAAAATCGAGGTCGTTTAGTCCAGGAGTTTTTGGCTTCAGCTCAGGAAGAGGTTTTCTATGACAGGAAGAAGGTTTTTTTAAAAACCAGCGCACACAAGAATCACAAGAGTAGTGTGGTAAGGACGTTTCACGCCTATTTTAATTATGCACGTTACTTAACGGTTCAGTGATTCGTCACACAACGTTGCTTCGTCATAAGAACTGACCACTACAGAAAATACCATAACATACCATAATGTTCCTTGTTTGTCACCCCAAGATTTTGCATGAGCATTGTCTTCAGTTTCTCTTGGCAGTTAAAATGGTCCATAGAGAAACTGAAAACCATGCTTATGCAAAATTTTTGGGGTGACAAACAAAGAGCACTAAGGTATGTTAGGGTATTTTCTGTAGTGGTCAATTCATCCAATCAAAACAACCATGACACCATCGAATCACACGATTTCCAAATAAGGACAAGTCAGTAAATGTCAAATTGACATGAAATGTTGGATCTAAAAAACTTAAAATCCGTCAATAGCCGCTTCAGTTTCTCTTGGCAGTTAAAATGGTCCCTAGAGAAACTGAAAACCATGCTTATGCAAAATTTTTGGGGTGACAAACAAAGAGCACTAGAGTATGTTAGGGTATTTTCTGTAGTGGTCAATTCATCCAATCAAAACAACCATGACACCATCGAATCACACGATTTCCAAAGAAGGACAAGTCAGTAAATGTTAAATTGACATGAAATGTTGGATCTAAAATAACTTAAAATCCGTCAATAGCCGCTGCAACATAAAAAACTGTGGAGCACGACAACAGAATGCCGATTGTTTTTAAAATCACAGGGGTAAAAAAAAAAATATATATAATACTATAATGTGTGTCATGGTGTGTTGATAATGACTATCACAAGGATTGTACATCCATACGTAAACAGCATTACATTTATATCATTCCTCGAGTCAAACGTCGAGGCTGGTTTGAAAAGAAATCCATGGCAATTTTGATCGAAGGTTGACGATGAGAAGTCTACATTTGTGGCGCGGATAATTTTTTCCCAAAAAATCAAATTCTATGATCGCAGTTAATTCTGTATGCGAAACGAAATGAACCAAAGTCTTTAAATAGCACAGTGCAGTTAAATCCTCCAGTCAGTAATCATGTTATCGGAGTTGTTGTGGCGACTACACGGTCAACCAATGCAGCGTAAATAATCTTACCCTGCGTCGACCTGTTTGTTTGCTCAATAGAGGTTTCTTGTCTTAAGCAGGGTCGCAAAATGAACTATTTTTGTCTGAAACAGGGTGAGGGTTTGGCAAATACGGCACATACACCTCTACCCAAAGCCCCCTTTTGTGCCCCCTTTCCCACCCCCCTCTAGGGCCGATCTATAAAATTAACTAAGAAAGAAATTGAAGAGAAGAGAGACTGTTATGTGACTATTACGTAATATAGCTCATTACCTGCAATCCTCTATGAGTTTATCCAGCATTTTTATAATAAGTACAGCAACACTGGATATGTCTTCACTTCCGTTTTGGCTTGCTATTCTGGCCAGTTGAACATTCTCTATGTCGGTTTCCTAGTTAAGAAAAAAGTTCTTTTTGACTTTAACCCTTTCAGCGCCAAGTGTGACCAAGGGCAGCATTCGACAGAAATTCCCAAATTTCATTTTGTCAAATATTGAAAACAAATACCACCATTTGAAAGTACAGGCAGAGACGAATCTTTTAAACGGTTACAACATAAGATTTCATCCTCAGCAGTGCCGTGGCCAGACCAAACGGCCAACCGAGGCAGGCGGGAGTTGCTAGGGGGGTTCGGGGGCATGCCCCCCCCCCTCCCCCGAGAAATTTTGAACTTTAGTCTCTCGGAAATGCGATTTGCAGCGTTTTCTGGGCCTTTCGGTAACTTTTTTTCGAGTTAATTTAAGTGGGATTTAAAAAGCAATAATCAGAAAGAAGCTACATAATCTGGGTGACCGTTAACCTCGCCAATGGTTTTGATCAGTATTTGTTCAAAAAAAAAATTGAGTTAACGTACGTAGCCCCTTGAGATCAATGATATGGTAATTTTTTTCATAGTATATTGACTGAATTGCTGAATTCTTTGTAATATCATGATGCGTTAAAAATATCCGATGATCGCTTATGTAAAATAAAAATGATCGGCGAAATTCGTCAAAATTTTACCAAGGCGAGTGCCTCGGTTGGCCTCATACTAGCTACGGCGCTGCTCAGACCCAAAAGTTAGAACCAGCCTACGGGACTCCAACATTCACTCTGGCTGTGAGAGGGTCAAACTCAATTGTCTTTTAATGAGGTAGAGCTAAGAAAAATTCTCTTACTTGAAAGACATAAGAGAGCTTGTTGTTTTGTCTTAATAATAAAAAGCCGAAATCGTGCATTTGGCTTTTTCTTCTATTTCTGAGGAATTATCAGGCATTACATCACACTTTTGGACCTCTGTTGTCTTTTCTTATCGCAGATGAGTTTAATGGAAATTCGTTTATCGCAACACCCTCGGGCGAAGCGGTGACGGGGCAGCAGTATGAATAAATATAGATTTTTTTTAAGTAACTGTCTAGAATAGTTCTGATCATAAGAATATTTTTATTTCCAAAACCACCAGACCATTGCCAACTAGTAGACAACATAGAGACTAAGTCTTTTTTAAAAAGCAATAGAGGGTTTTCAAGATCGCAAAATTTTGCTGGCAAGAAAATTCCACCTCGTACTCACAAGTCTTTCACACATCCGAGCGAGAATGTTACGTGGTCCCAGCCTGAAGGCAATGTCTTCCCAATGGCTATCGACACAACAGCAGGGTTTGATATCATTCCATGGCAGAAAATAATAATAGCTTCCATCAAATATGGCATTTGTTGGCGAGGTAGAAGATGACGACGGTGGAACTGAAAGGTCCAGCTGATTTCCATAATTTCCTAATAATATAGAAAATCAAAGTGTCTAATGAAGTCTAAATAGCTATATTGAAAGCTTGTTTTTCCCCAGTTGTCTATTATTTTTTAAGCTACGTTTTGAATAATAAAGGGAAAAGCGCAAGATCGATACGCGCGCGCGTGGGAAAGATATTTCCCCTATTTGTTGCTCTGTTGCTGCCTGTGTTGCGTTGCTCAGTGCTAGTTCCCAGTGCTACTTACTAGTGATTAGCACCAAGTTTAGAAAAGCTATAAAAAAAACTATAGGATGGCGGAAAACCGCCCAAAATCGCTGAATTACATCTGTAAACAACCGACTATGCATCAATGACACTCATTCATGCGTCAGCCACGTTGGCATCTGCCTACGCTGAAGTTGTGAAAATCATGCTGACTTAACAATGTTCATATATTTATTGTGAATTGAAATTTAATTACAGGACACTTAGGTAATTAAATGAACTGATCAGACCTGAAGGACCAGATCACTTGAGGAGGGAAATTTTTATTTTCAATCACAAATGAAAATTTCTTCAGATATTAACCTTTCTATGAGTTTTGTTAATCTGCCCAATCCTAACAACATTCTCCCCTGAATAGAGCGATACTCATTTGGACTACACATGACATCAATCCGTCCAACGTGAATCTAAAGATGAAGCCCGAGTGGTAGAAAGAATAAAATAGCAGCAGTGCTGAGCTTCCCGTCAATTTCATATGGATCAACTGACGTCACACTTGATGCAGTATTGCGTTTTCGATGCTGATCATACTATTTACAATCTTCGGAATGAAATTTAGCATCAGAGGACTTTGATAATCTAACTTAACACTACTGTTTTATGCCACAAATTAAATACTCAATTTCCTTTCTGCAGCAACATTGACCTCTAAAGCAAATGTATGTAGTGGCTTTCATGCGGAGGAAAATGATTGCAAGAAAGTCGTGTCTGGATTTGCTTTTGCTCCTGATTAGTTTAGAAGGAAATGCAATTAACAAATAAATTTCCACACAACTGATCTATCATAAATGAACTTTACCGATGCTGATCTCAAAGGTTACATGTCCATCCGTGCATGCCACCATTGAAGCCTCCAAGAAACAAGCAAACAATTTGTATTTTCTTCGACGGAGGTACCTCTGTGAAAAGAATTGAACAGAGGGAACAGATTGTTTCCTGCTGGGTGGTGGGGATGTCGGAAGATGGGGCGGAAATCTACAGTATGTTTGCAGTGCCGGAAAATGCTTTGATTTTGTTGTCTTTTTACTAGGAAGCGTTACCATTTACTCCACCCTTTCTAAAAGTAACCTTGTTCTCATTAATTCCCAAAGCAGTATTTTTAACATTGAGTCAAGTGGATCTAGGCAAATGACTAAAATAAACTTGAACATAACAAGGTCGAGTATCCCAACTGGCCGCAGGAAAACTGACCAAGTAGCTGAACACAGGACTACCAAGAAACCAACACTATAATGGCCTGAAAGGTAGAGGACGGTGAAGATACCGGAAAATAAAAAAGAAGGCAATGGAAAGCAATTTATGTTAAGCACGAGGTTTGGGTTTGATACTCTGAGAAACAGAAAAGGCAGTGAACATATGCAAGAATTATTGAATGGTTTTGGAAGCTACATAAAATGTCTTTCATCACGTATCTCGAATATTAGCAGATCGGTTACCCATGTCACCATGGTCTCTTCAACAGGAGGTTGGAGAGTCTATGATGTCACAAGCCAGCCAAACGACTGACACTTACCTGGATACGTATTATGTGATCACTTTGGACGTCTTCGATAAGTTTTGTTGGCTGAGTGTCTAGTTTGGTCTCAAGTTCAACAAGAACTCGACCACGATACGCAACGCCTTCACCCTAAAAGACCAAGCATTCCAAATAATTTGAAAGGGTTAGTGTACGACAAAGAACCCCTTAATTTAAAAATAGTTCATTAAATATGAGAGAGATTTGGAATCATGTTTACGGAAAACGTCAAACGTCAGATTATATTTAGGTTGACAATTTCTCAAATTTGAAAAAGAGAGGTAAACACTGTTCAAAATCATTCTTCTTGTTGAATCTGGTGTAAAAGAAACTTGGTCACTTGGTGAAAATTCCTGCGTTTACCGTTTGCCGAAACGTCACCTTAAATCTCTATATTGTTGTAGCTATACACACAAAGCAATTTACAGTGGAAGGCAGGGTTACCGCCAAAAAACCAGCCTGTTCCAGGCTCCAAGAAAGTAATGTGCTGAGATTGTGGAAAATGTGCAGGGGCTGGGGAGAAAGGAACCAGATCACGCGCATCCTGTTTCCCTTAACCGTGTTTTCTCGACGTTGTTAATAGAGAGCTTGATATTCTAAGACGAGGACGTCCACGAATACAAGATTTTCTCAATACTAAGTAATGGCATGGGCGCGCGCGAACCAACGTCATTTTGGCTGGAAAATGTGATAGCTATCGTCGTTCTACTCAATGTGTGCTACGAGTTTTAGCGAGAATGTCTTAGTGGCGAAACCAAGTTATCAAATGTTGGGAATTTTATCATTCAGCGATTAGGAGAGGGCTTTACGTCCTTCAACGGAAATATTCGTACTAACTTTTGTGGTGAAAAAAGTACCATGATGATGCTTTCCGGGGTGTCTATTTTTAGAGAATAGGCGAGATAACTTAACATGAAATATCGTCTTCGTTGTCGTCGTAGTCCTCGAATCTAAAGCTCTCTACTATCTGAGAGGGACTGGCACAGACTAAGAGCGCACAAAGTTACACTTCAAAGCCGCGGTTCTTATTTCATGAGGCCAGCACTTGTTAGACCTAATAGAATTCCAAAATCTGTGTTCAAAACTTAAACCCCTAAACTTTGAATGAGGAAAAGTAATATTTTCCTGGCCAAGATGTGTTTTAGTAAAGTAAAAAAACTTTTCAACAGAAGTTTTAAATAATTCAGTTGCTGTGTGTATCAGTAAATAATTGGCCGTTTTTTTAGGAAGTATTGCATGAAGTCAACAAGACCAAAGTAATTTAAGGGAAGAGCGCAGAATTTAATGCCGCGCTTTGGAATTCTGTCAGCAAGTCGGCTGGGAGAGTCGTCGTCTGGTTTAAATGTTCGCTGAAAAGATTAATTTAACAGTGCAACAACCAAAATAGAATGAAGCTCTTAAAAAGAGCTCATGACTTTTATGATAAAGAAGATTGAAAATAGATCTGTCATTGATTTATTACGTATACTGCATCGAGTCGCGGTTAGAAAAGGAACTTACAATGCCAAGGTTAAGCTCGTCGTACTCGTCAGGAAGATCGGAATACTCTCTTGTGGAACCATAAAAGTTTAAAAAGCATGGACCATATCGCGGCAAAAAACCTGAGATTAAAAGAATTTTAACAGTAAAACATAGTCTATATTTCCCCTCAATGGGTCTATATTAACATTCGGTTGTCCTCACACTTGGTGCCCGAGAACTAGTGCCTGGGTACCAGCACAAAAGGGTGGCGTCCACACATTCGTTACTCGGTATCAAACTTGGTACACATCTGGCCCTGGTTGTTCAAACGCTGGATAGCGCTATCCACCGGTTAAATCACTATCCAGTGGATAAGTATTAGGGAAACCAATTGCTTTATCTAGTGGATAGTGATTTATCCGGTGGATAACGCTATCCACCTTACGAACAACTGAGGCCTGCTGTATTTCGTTCTGCCAGACGCCATTTTGAAACTTTCGAGTAGCAAGGAGTTAAAAAGATAGTGTGTTCACATTAGTGCCCAGTATAAATTTTACTCGGCACTGTGCTCATGCACCTAGTGTGAACAGACCTTTTATGAAAGACGCCCTTAATCGTGATGGCGTCGTACTTGCAAAAATGCAAGGTCTTTGAGCATTGATTTTAGAGCTTTGTACTACAATCGTGTTCTGGTTGGTCGGTTAGCAATAGAATTGGTTTGGGGGTAAATGAGTAGAAAGCTTTAGCCGGTGTAGAGAAGGTAGTAAAGAAAAACCTCCTCCCTATTCATCTTTTAGCTTCATGCCAAACCTATTGCTTGCTCTTCTACTCTTCCTAATATTTGTCTGCTTTCAAAATAAAATAACCTGGCAAGCTATAGATAGAAAGAGATAAGCAGTAACTCCTCCAAAACATACTCCTGCAGCGCTAGCTACAAGTTTAGATCCCAAGGCTTTCCCTAAGTAAATTGGGGCGGTGGTCCGCGTTTCCAGGATAAGAGAGCTAACTTGCACTTACTGCCCTGATATTGTACAAAACTTTGTCCGTGTCAGCTCTATGTTGGGTATCAGATACACCTACCCCAATAAACTGAATGTATTGCGTCTATCTCGTCTAAAAAGAAACAGAATAAGCGAAACACCTTCTTCGCCTTGTCCTGATATCGCAGACACCGGAATGTAACGGGTACCAATGCAATCATCGCTGGTCAATTTATCCCTGGTGACACAAATAAAATAAAACGTGTAATTCGAGCTCTATGTCAGTTAGAAGTTTCTGGAAAAGCGATCGTAGACAACCTTCTTTTCAGTCATGTCCCAAGTTTTTCAGATGCACAGCGAAAAAATCGCTTAATTTGTGTTAATATTTGGTACATACCACCCAGACTGCGTGAGGCATGCACACATAAAACATAAAAACTGGAAAGGAAAAATACTAAGGATATGGATTACAATAATTCGTCACGGCGGTTTAGGCCATGAGGTTCAAGAGTCATGGTCTCATCTCTTATCTATCAAATGCGACTCTCTGACCTTACGAACTGAGTCACGTGAAGAATGAATTTTCTCTAGTGGGATTAACTGCATGTCAGTATGAGAATGGTTAGAGTGAGAGAGAAAGTGTTCAGAAACAGTAGTTTTTGCAGTTAATTTAATCCTTAATCATAACTATAACAAAATTGTCAAATCTGATTGGCTATCAACTGCCCTGATTTCAGCCTTAAATGGACAGTTTAATAGGACAGTACACGTCATGCCTAAGTAATTGGACAGTACGCGCCATCACGCGCGCTCTTAAATGGCTTTTTTTTTTTACTGCTAGCAAAACAAAATTTCGAATTTCTTGTGTTTTGGTTTAAAAAATAGCCTAATATATCACAAATTTTGTTAAAGTTATGATTCATTGGTAACAGAACTTCGTGTCGTCCAATTCAGTCTAATCATACTCGTGATTAAACAAATCGGACTCCCACTACGCGGTCGTCCGATTTTGTTAATCACTCGTATGATTACAGACCGAATTGGACTCCACTCAGTCCTGTTACCATTACTTATTATTTAAGGGATATGTACAATTTAAATTGCACGAAAAAGAAAGGAAAGGAAAAGAAAGTTTAATTACAGTCGTGCAACGCTAAGTTACATAACAGTGACAACAAAAACCAATAAGGTGGACTCAAAATTGAACCATACACTCGGTAGTTGCCTTGAAAGTTCTCCCAAAAACCCACACAGCATTTTTAAAAATACACAATTCAAGTTCTATGATTGAGGATAAAGAAATTCATCTTTATGCTCACTACGCGCAAGAAACAATGTCTATTTATTGAGGGGAATGAGGGAAGGGGCGAGGTAAGGGGGACACAGGATTTTCCAGGAGTTTCAATTTGGTTATTTTTGATACTCTGCCACGTTCGGCTTTCTTCCCCCTTCTCTCTTAGGCCATATTGTTGTAAGATTATTTGACTTTCTAACTTTGAAACCTAGGTGGACAAAATCCTGTGGTGTTGACATTCCAATGAAGTACATTTTCGCTTTAGTATAAAGTTACATAAATTCGTCTTTGGTTTTTTCAACTTGGCGAAAAAAAAAAACAGAACAGGCTCTTAACGGATCTTCACGAACCTGTATCCGATAAGTAAAAATCGTCTTAACATAGCTTTACGCTACTTTTCTTGCGTGCCGTAAAGTGCGCTCTTTTACGGAAGCTTTATGCGCCTTTCCTTTACACGACAGTGTAAACTTTCGTAAAGCTTTGAACTGAAGTTTACGGAATCAGGTAAAGTTAGGCAAATTTCACCTTTCGTTCTCAATAGTTCAAAGTTCATTTTCTTAGAAGTCTGGTATATAAACACTTTACAATCTGTAAAGTGGAATTTAGGATGTTAGATCACAAATGTGAGCACTGATGGTTCTTGGTACCGAAGAGACACATATTGCTATAACACTTCATAACGCTTACCAGTCCCACAACTGCAACTTTAACTTCTCAGCCATTGTAGGGAACTGAAACCAAAGCCCAATACAACATTGATGCCCACATGGACTGTCCTTGGCATTTTAGCATTATTTAACATTATCGTTAATTAACAAATTTGCAAACAGGCACTTAAATTCAGTGTGATATTTATCTATAATTACAATTTGCTACACTATTCCGATATATCCGATATATTTTTTCCTCATAAAGGCGTGCAGACAAAGGAGTAGAAGATTAAAAAACCATGACCCTGTTCTCTGGGAAAACTGGAAAATGACAAAATTAGAAGGAAAACGTAAAAAACATGGAAACCAGAAACTTCTGATGCCGCCTAGAACTAATCAAAAAGCGTTCTACAAGTTTATATCTCCGGAGAGAAGTAACGCCTACAGTTTGGTATGAACTAATGGTAAGATAATTCTTGTGCTTTACCTGGAAAGGAACATGCAGCTCCTGATTAAATTCAGGGTGGTCGCAGTTTTCATGAGTGGCAGTCCTTCCCTAAAGAAATAAAAATAACAATGAAAAAAATCCGAGAAGAGATTCAATTCTCTTCAAATTCAGATTTAACAAATCAGTAGTCTAGCCAGATCTGGGTAGTGCATCTAATTTGTTGTGCCGCGTCTTTAACCAATAGGAAGCAGTAACGAAGTCTAGTTAGTAACGCGTCATCAGTTCGAACTTTCTGCGCTCGTTCCTCAGAAGTCATTTCGCGGGAAAACCAGCGGTGGCGTTGCGATATTTAGGCTGTTCTTAAGTTAATAAAAAATCTTGTTGGGCCTCTCTTTGATGTGGATGAATTTCATTCAAACGGTGTTTTTTTTCCAAGTTTTATCCCTGAGCGTACATAAAAAGGATGATATTAATTCCAAAACTCTTCAAATTTGTAGTTTTTCGCCCCACGTAAGGGAATCCAGATTCCGGAATCTGTGAACTTTTGCTTGTGGAATCCGGAATCCTGGGCTCGGGGATCCAGAATCCCGGATACAAGTTCCACTGAAAAAGAATCCGGAATTAAGTACCTGGAGTGGACTCCAGAATCCAAGACTGTCTTGAATTCCTTTACACGTGGCGATCAAGTTTTAAACGATTTTTACCAAACCGATCTTTTAGAAGCAAGCTATATTTGGCGCTTACCTCTTTACCAGCAAATGAAAACAGTAAATATGGGTCGACCAATTCTTTCATCTGACCACCAAGTAAAGCTTTCTTTATCTGCTCAGAAGCACCAGAGTCCACTAAAATTATTTACACAGAGTGAAAAAACCTATACTCAGTACTTCAAACTTTACAACACTATTTATTGTATATTTAAATTTCCAATTCTTAGCAGTATTTTCTTTAGTTTTACCCTGGATTCCAGAGGTCTTCTCGCTCAGTAAAGGGGAAAAAAACCTCTCGCAACCAAAGTACTTGAGCAGTGGAGTGTCTGGTGTGGCTTCAAGGTTAGCTCAACGTCGTTCCCAGCGCTTTTTCCTCAGAAATTGGAGAAAAGCCCTGGGAACGAAGTTGGAGTTAAGTGACATTTTTAAGAGAATAGATCAGTGACTTAATTGGCATCAAGTCGCCTCCTTGGTACTGACCAAACGAACTGTGTTGAGGCCTCAAATGTAATAAATGACCCTAAATGTAATAAAGGTCCTAATTGTAATAACGTTTGGCCCTAAATGTAACAAAGGTCCTAAATGTAATAACTTTTGGCCCTAAATGTAATAAAGGTCATAAGTGTAATTCTTTCAGCTCTTATTATGCTTAGGGTCATAAGAAGATTTCATAGTGTTTGTTTTCAGCCTTACTACAGGTTAACTGAGCGCAAGAATGTGTCTAGGGAAGAATCAAACACTAAATACCCCAGGCAGATCCCCTATATAGCCATTTGAGTGACAACTTATTATTATTCATGTGGTGAAATCCTGGAAAAAATAGTTCGCATAAAATTCACTTCAAGAAGTACTCCTGGTAGAAATTAAAATCAAAGTCAGGAAGTCAGAAAAACTATCAAGATACACTGCCCTTAATATCTTGCTGTCTATATATAACTTTGTGTTCACAGCATTCTGTATGGACCGACCGACATACTCTTTTGGAAAATGATAAAAAAAATAAATAAATAAATAAACCATTTCTTTTTTTGGCCCAACATTAAAAACCCCTATAGGCAAAAGTAGTTAATTTACGACGATTGTTTCTAATGAACATTAATACTTTCTTCAATTGCTAAATTACTACTGTATTTTGAAAACTTTTGTGAACTCGCGTTTTACGATGTAGGGATGTACTAGGAAACACGATCTAGACGTAGTTAATTTATAAATGTTTTTCCTACTTCTTGAGCGCTCTAGCCGCTTTCTAATTTTATGAATATCTATGAAGACTACAACAGGGCGAAGAAAGTGAATCGCCAGCTGGCTATAAAATTAATATCGCATCAGACCGTCGCATGTTTCAGTCAGCGACTTTATCAAGTTTGGAGCTGTTATACTACATACATGCGGTATACTGTTAAGACTTCCATTACATTTAGGGCTAAAACCTATTAAACGTATAATATTATTAGACCCTTTATTACATTTAGGGCCAAAAGTTATTACATTTAGGACCTTTATTACATTTAGGGCCAAAAGTTATTACACTTAGGACCTTTATTACATTTAGGGTCATTTATTACATTTGAGGCCTCAACAACTCCAGGCTCTGACCTCGAGTTTAAATTTATTACATGTAAACAGGGCCCATTTGCCACCCAAAAAAAAACGGGAAAAACTTCATCATCAGCTTTGGTTAAAAGGTTTTTTTCTAAAAAAAAAAGTAACTGAAAGACTTACTTTGGGGAATATCTTCAGCTATAAATACTTTTAGTGAGAAAAATGCTGGTCTGAGCATCAGTCCTGGAGGTTGAATTAAGTTGCTACAAAAAAAATATGACAAAAAGTTTAGTTATTTTTGAACTAATTAAACAAACATCCATCATTGGTATTGACTTACTCTTCTATGTCGTCAAGATCATCTTGATCTGCGCTCACAGTTACTGTCTAAAAACCAAATGCCAAAGATTAGACTTTTAGCGAGAGAATACCATGGGTGCTTACCATTTACACCAACCATCCCGGTGGAAATCTGGTGCATAAACATCAAACGATCAAATTTGACGTGAAGAGAGAACGATCCGCTACAAACAAAATCAGCTGAACAGACAAAAAGTGTAGAAAAATTGCATCCCCTCAAATCAAAGCCCACGGAAAAAAAACTAGAAAACTTAAGGAAATTGTCAAATACCTGCAAATATCCCCTGGGAACTGAGAATTTTACTTACCGGAGCTTCATCACCAGGTCCAAGAACCATGACGGTCACTTTTAAGTATCCCTGTGAAACAAACCACAGGACTACCATTATTTTTGAGGGACTGCTATAAAAGGTTTCGTTACAGTAAATTAACCAAAAAACAAAAAAATAAACACCTAATTGCCAAGTCTAACACTAGTAGAGAGTGTACTCGAACAATGAGAGTCGCGTGATAGGTCCATGGTATTGCATGTGTCTCTTCCAGAACGAGTAAAATGACGCTGTAACTCAGGCGAAAAACTTGACTCGTGCAATATTGTCCGCGACTATTCAGGTATGGTTTTTTAGAAAGATGGGGGCCTTAACTAAGGGGTGAAAAGTCAGTTTTAAAGAAAATTATTTTACACATTCCTACATGTACTTTGGGAACAAAAAAATGTTACCTTGGTTTCCACTATTGTTAGATGATATTTAGCAGAATAAATTTAATAAAAAAAAGTTATCAGAAGCTACCTTTGCTCCTGCCATTTTGTCCTCGGGATCAGATAACAAAATCCATTTTCTTATAATAGCATGGGCTGAAAAAAGCAATCCGTCCTTGTTAGAATGGGCTTGATTTGTCGCACATCAAAACAATGCGCCAAAAAAAATAGTTCAAGTCTCTGGACTGTTGAAAAGGAGTTTAAGAATTGAAAAACAAACAGATACCATTTTGCCATGAGAGGAAAAGTATGCGGACTTCTCGGGAAACACACGTACCGTCCCTAAAAGTAATTTTACTGAAATTCACATATCCCAAAGGCTAAACAAGCCGTTTCCATCTCTTTTCCACTTTTCCAAATTCCAATCAGGTAGACGAAGAACCACTTTGTGGATGTGCTACTTCCAAATCATTATACTCTCTAACTTTGCCTTATGCCTGTTCAGTTATGAGCCATCGAGAAGACGTCATGATGTTGTGAGAACATCAATAGCCAATTTACCTTTAACTCTTTAAGCCTCAATATCCACACACTAATTCCACAGACGGAGGTCCCCCCATTTGTTTAAAGAATTAGTGAAGAGACTCTGATTAAATATCAACGCATTTTCCCTTTTTTGATCATTTCATTAATTCTTACAACCTTTTGTCTGGATTGTGTATTGATATTATTGAAACGTCAAGTCTTCTAAAATCTTATAAGTTAGTTTTTTGCAACGTGCGTTGTTTCATCATGTTTGTTACCGCAGTTTGTGTTTTATTTTTACTGAAGTTGAACTGGCCGAAGAATGAGAGTGTTTACTATATTGTTGGGTTAAAATTGTTGTTCGTCACCCTTAGGGCTTATTAAAGGATTAACTAATTCTTTTTTACGCAGGTGCTAAAAACGTGTGTCAGTATAACAAAAAAACATTAAAAATGCGGACTTACAAGGCGCATCATAGAAAAATCCAACATCGCACTGCAAGTTGAGCACAGTAAAATATGTTTTAATAATGAAACCTCAGGTGTATAAAGGTAACTTACAAGCCAAAATACATTTGAACATCCCCTTAAAAGAGCTGTCTCAGGAAATCCATCAAACTCCAGTTAGTAGGAGCTGCCCCCAAATTAAGTGAAACAAATTAAGATAACTGCTCAAGACATTAAAAGATCTAGAAGGTATGATAGTTCGATATATCAAAATTCTAACATGATTCGGAGGCCTTAGGGTCAAAATGGTAAATTGTTGAAGACTCCATTGCCTGGCAATTCCCGAAAGAGACTTGAGCTCAAAGAACACCAAACCAAATGTATCAAAATGAGTTTTAATGTCTCGAATGTGAGCACGTTATCAAAGCAGTTTGGATTTCAATCTCACCTGAAAGCTTCCGACCATAGCATTGGACCTTAACTTCTTGGAATTGAATACCTGAAAAATTTAGTAGATCATAGTGAGAAACACTTTGCAATTCAACCTCCTCCCGCTGTTGAATCCCAATTTCTAGAACCTCTCGAGAAAAGAAAAATTAAGTTACATTGTCGGGATCAGAGTTGGAGAGATCAGGCTAGCCTTCGACGCAGGAGTACTTTACGAAGCCCCAACAACATCTACCGTGTAGGAGGCTAGAGAGATCCCGGCAAAATTACGGTGTCTAACAATGGAAAAGAGGGTTACTTGGGTTAATTTTTGCTGGGTATGCGCCGCTGGGCTCTCAGAGCCGTAACCCCATTATAGTCTTATCTGTGGCCAATTATAAACCCCATGTTAGTCACTTTTGGGCAAACATGTAATTTTCGCGATCCCAACTTTCGAGAAACCGAGGGTCGTGAAATAAACCCTGTGTTGTAAAACATTCTTAAGGTATTAGATGGAATACGAAATACGAGAGGGACTGAAATCTGTATGGGACAGGAGTTTACAATGGCGAACAGAGGGCCAGCAACCGTAATCCATATAGAACAAGACACACACGTTATATTGTACTCTTCGTGAGGTGGAGAACTTTACCAAACGTTCAAGTAATGAATACTGATGAACTAAGCAGGAGTTTGCATTAAAAGTTCTAAAATTCTACTGTTTAATAATTCATCAAGTGGCTGATACCGCGGTGTACAAACGACGTAGGCTCAATTACCAGCCGCTTTTCGGAAAATGAGCCCGCGCTCTTCGCCCTTTCCCGTCTTCAGGAGAAACACGATCGGACCCGAGAGAGCAGCAAAAATCGAGCCTACGTGTTACTCAACTATCGATCAAATAATACCTATTGATTGGCCATAACTTTGATGAACAATGAATAAATTTTGCAATCTATACGCAACATACCTCAAATAAGGTAAGGGAATCAAATAATTTCGTTGGAGTTTCATTAAAATTGAAGAAAAACACCTGCAAAATATGTTGTGGAAACTTAATGTTGGGCTTTATCAATCTGCGCTTGCAACATAACAGCTATTTCTTTAAAGTATTAAAAACCCTCTGGGTCAGTTATTTAAAGGACGTCTAATTAGGGCCTCAGTTACCTCCAGATATCCTGCTTAGTGGATTATTTTCAAGAGAGATAAATGCCATTCTAGTCTACGCTATGTGCCTTCATGAAGCTGGTTACGATAAACGGTGAAAAACTGAAATGAAAATTGCTCGGAGCACAGTTTTGTTACACAGTGCGAAGACTCAAACCAAGTTACTTGGAAGAAGATTGCCCAATCACAACGTTTTCTAAAAACAAAAGATTATCAAGTTTTTTTGCAAACAGACCAATAACATTCAAATATCAACTATAAAACCGTTGAAAACTTTAAGCCCATTTGAACTTACCTGACCTCCCAGGAAACAGCCCTCATATTTATGAATGTTATTGGTCGGTATGCAAAAAAAAATTGGTAATCTTTTGTTTTCATACAACGTTGTGATTGGACAATCTTCTTCCGAGAGCCCCGGTTTGAGTGTCCGCGCAGTAAACACTTGCTAAACTCCGTTTAAACAACCTACCTAAATGTTGTACTTAAACATGTATCAAATACCTCATCATAAAATGGTTTATTTGTTGACTTGACGACCTTCGTTTGTCTAGTCTGATTGCCAATAGTGACACGTACTACTGGACTGATATTGGCACCTGCTAACTGACGGCCCTCGATAACTCTTACTCTGACCTGAAACATAAATAAATGTCGAGTACTTGATTTCAAATTCCTAAAACAGAACAGAACACGCTGAATCATGAAACGAAATAATTCGCTATTGCTGAAGTAACAAATTAAGGTCAAATATTAGAGTCGGTTAAATCTAAGGCTCCAGGTTTGTTTGAAGTAATTCCTAAAGAAGTTATAAGGGCGGCCCTTGTTTTCCGACGGTCCAGGGTTTAGTCCCAAGCTGATGTCAGCACGACATCTCTAATGACTTCAGCCCATTGTGAACACTAGACACGTCTATTGACTGTCACTATTAACTTAAATAACCATAACAGTGGTTTACATTCTACTACTTTCTATTAGATCTTAGATTAATACTAGATCATTGCTTTCGATAAAGAGCTCATCATATATCTCCTCGTATCATTATTATTATTATTATTATTATTATTATTATTATTATCATCATTATTATTATCATTATTACTATTTTCGTTTGAATTTCTCTAGACAATAAATGATCATTTAATAAAGGAACACTATAATATCAAACCTGGAAGTCAAGATTTTTATCAGGCAGTTTTTTCCTCGCTTCACTCTTTGCAATAAAATCTTCAGCGCCAGATTTTTTCTCAGGTCTGGAACGAGAGCAATAATTTTAAAGAATAGAATCATCGGATCAATTAAGGTTTCTGGGAAACTACTCACTTACCCCTCCCCTAAGTCAACATTAACGCTTAACGCTTTTTTTCTCGAGCGCGAGCGGTATATTTTTTATCTTTGCTGCGGCAAAAGCGAGCGGGAGAGCGGGACTCTGCTCGACTTGTTTCCCCTGCAAAAAACGCATCAAGCGACGTCATTTTGGCGCGAACTATTTGCGTCCCTGTCGCGTGTGTCGTCGCGAGCTGTGTCAAAACAAGTCGATAATGTTTTTCCAAGCCATGGCTGCCAGGAAAATCCGGCCTTGGTAAAGTACTCAAATGGAGGGGAAAAAAACGCCCACTGAAACTTTTGTGCGCGTTTCAGTTATCGATAATGTTTGCCGAAAAAATACACAACTCGATTGAATTTTGATCCAAACAGCTCTAGTCACGTTTCATGTGAAGTGATCGGGTTTGATTGCCGGCGCATCAATAAAACCGTTCGTGATTGGATAAAACTCACAGGAAGAAAAGTCCTCCTGTAAATTTGGCGCACTGCCGGGGATAAAAGTCCTTCTCGTTGGGGCTAACTACCGCAACCGGAAATGAGATGCGGAGGACTTTAAGAAAGTCTTCGTCGTCAACTGATGTTCTCGTTCTGTTGCTATATCAGCCTCGTTGTCTTGTATTTGTGTGTTTGTTTATTTTGTTTTGTTTTTCGTTTGTTTGGCTTATTTCTTTATCTGTTTAAGTTGAAGTTGAATTTTCGGTCTAACTTTCAGTTTCATTCACTTAATCGAATTTACTTACTTTTCCGGAATTTCCCCAGCTGTCTCTTCTTTTTCATCTGCCGGGGCTGCTTTTGTAGGTTCTGGTTTGGGTGCTGGAGGTTCTGGAGTTACTGTTCTTTCAACTGGCGCGGGGGTGAGTTCTTCGGCAGGAGGCGGAGTTGACGGAGGGGGTGGTGGAGTAGCTGGAACTGATGGAGCGACAGGAGCAGGCGGAGCAGCGGGGGCTGGTGGAGCAGGAGGAGTTTCCTCGCCTTCCATAAGGTCTTGTCAATCAAACCTGTTTAAAAAGTTAAACGTCAACCATTTGGAATCGATGCTTACATGATACAGTTGCATTGGCCTGCGAGAAAGTTCTTTCCCTGCTAGCAGAGGCCTAGCTCTTTCCCCTAGTATTCGGCGGGTGGGAGGACCCTCTTTTCCTCCCTTTCCTCCGAAGGAAAGAGGGAACTTGAGCAAGCGAGCGGCGGGGAAAGAAAACTTGCAACAATCACTGAAAAAATTTCACTTCTCTCTCTTCTCTGGGCGAAGAGAAATACCGTCAATTTTAATCTTAACAAGTTACCTTTACAAGTAATTTTAGTAACAACAAATAATTCAGTTGTTAGGTAACTGATTAATTAAAGTGAAAGAAACTATAAAAGTTACAATGATGATAAAATTTGCATATAAATAACACATGCAGACCGGTTAATAACTTAGATAAAGGTTTTTTTACCGCCTATATTTTCCTTTGGGGTATGCTTCAAGTAGTCTCTGTCACTTTTACTGTTTTTTTTTTCTCATTAATTAGTAACTTATTTTACATTTTAATTTTCTGTTGTTACTTCAATTAGCTGTTATTTCTGGAAGTGCATGTTGTAACATACGAAACGTCAAAATATAGCTTTATCTTTCCCAGAAATGCATTATTCCTCTTGCTTATTGCTGCAGTTATAAATAAGAGTGTGACATGTGTGTTTGTTTTCTTTTGTTTTTTTGGTCGATGATACTGTGAAAATCAGAGAGACAGTAAGGGGTTTAGCACCGAGGTAGAGGGATTAGGGCTAAGCACTGTTTACCAATAGCCTTCAAATAATGCAAGAACAATGCTATGTCAAGTACGTTTTAAGAACGGGGGCCGGCAGTTAGCTCTTGATGATTATAAAGTAGTGGATACTGCCGTGGACTGTAAATCAAATGATGCGGATCAGCCTTACAATGACTCAGTTTTCCTCCTTTTTTATTTACCTACATGTATGAGACTTTCAGACTTTTTTCCTGATTTTGGGGTACCCGTTCTAGTCATGCACAACTGTAACTTGAGGCGGGAACGACCAATCTCGTACTTGAAAGAAAAGGTAAACTCCCGCCCTCGAAAAATTTCGTCACCAGCGTACGGTTTGATTTATCATCACAGAGAACAGAGTAAAATTTGTTTCCTATCCATAGTACTTTTATCGCAAATGATTTGCATATAACGAAGCCTGGGTCGGTTGCCTTTTCACTATTCACTTTCAGTGACTACTGACGGACCATCGCTGCTAAGGAATCGTTTGCAGTTTTACCAGGAGATAATTTTAGTGTAAATTCACGTTTCTCCAAAAACACGTGTAACTCAACCAAAGCGATAACGAGAGCGATTCTAAAGGAAGTTGAAAGTGAACTATTTTAATTCAATAGTAATGAGTGAATTGCAACTGACATAGCGAGCATTTCAAGTCAAATATTTAATTCAGCACAGTATTTTGAACAATATCAAAGAACATCATGATCTGGAAAGTAAGACAATTAGCTACAATTTTTCACGTTCCTCTCGTTTTCATAGTGCATTTCATGCGGCAACAAACGAGCTTCTGTACTAGAAATTTCAGCAGTTGACTTTAAGTTACTTTAACAAATGAATCAACTTAAAAATTTGATTTTTGTTCTTTCAGTTTAGCACTCAGGTGCAACTTATATCGGGGTTAACTATACAGTCATAGGAATACAGCCACAACTGGCCGTTAAAACACAAAACTAAAGGCATGAAAAGAAAAAAAACTCAACAAGTTGGAAAAATTAAATGCCCTATAGCCATTTCAAAGTCTTATCCTTAGGAAGAAATTTTAAATATTCTAGACTAAACAACAATAGGGTTTGCAATTTTACGCCAGTTGTCTGCTTCCTACCTTTTCAGATCGATACTCAGTGGTGAAAACAAGTAGTAATTTAACTTTAGACTCTTGAGCAGTCGATATCATTCCAATGCTCTTTATCTCACGGCGGGCTTCTTTAGGTTTGTGTTTTAAAGAGAGTGCTTCATAAATAACAATTTGAACACAAACAGAATAATTAAACTGATGTTCAGAAATGTTCGACAAGTGATTGTGTTGTCATGCGAACTGTTCTATTTAAGAAATATGTCTGTAAAACTAATCGGCAAAAAAAATATATTATTTTGTTAAAGCGATTAAGGTTATGACAGCCTGGGACCAGGCTCCGCATTGTGAGAAAAAGGAGAAAAAAATCGGCGTTGGCGAAAAGAAAAAAATCAGCCAGCGAAGCGAGCCGAGAGGTAGTCTCGCTAGGCTCGCTTCGTTCGCCGATAATTTTCCTTTTTGACTGTGCCCCGTTTTTTGCCATTTCCCCCACAGCGGAACCTGGCTCCAAGCTAAGGTTATGACACCATTTTTCCCTTAATTCTCCCTTTAATTAATGATGTTAAAATACTGTCATTTTCCGTACTTCTCTGATATTCCTTACAAGCCAATTGTTCACACAATTTGCCTGGAATTCGGAAACGACGAATTTTGGCGTTCATTATTCTGCTTGCTGATATCATGATAGTACCATTCATTTGAATAAAAACGTAAATAATTGATTGATTGATTTATTTTTTTGACTAGTTGTTCAGAGAGCTGTTCTCCTTTGTCCTACCAATTGTTATTTCTTGGGCGTTATTCGCACTAAAGGTACACACGGTTTTGAGTACAAAGTAGAAGTTAAAACAAGTAAATAATAAATGGAAAGGTGTCAAAGTCTGCTTTATATTTGATCTCTTCAAATTGGACGACCGTGGATTAAAATTTACTAAACATCCAAACGTGAACAGCTTTTTCCCAGTCTCTTTCTTCAATGATATTAATTTTTACTGAGTTATTTCAAGGATTTTTTTAATGAAACTTTCTTCACCCAGCAATGACAGAATTACAGTCGAAGCCTGGGTATTTACTGCTACGAGTCTGAGAAAAGAGAACAAGTAAATTTATTACAGCCAATAGATGCAGCTAGAAAGAGAACTGGCCAATATCAAGCAAATTATAAAATCGTAAAATAATGACTATTCGATGCAAAACGACAGACAAAAACCGATAAATAATAGTAGTACAGAGGGTTAGAGATAAGTTGGAACATTAAGACATAACTTGCCCAAAATGTAACTTGGGCAACAGAACTTGGTGGATAATCGTGAGTCCATTCCATAATTTACAAATTCACGGTATTCAATTTTACAAACATTCGATGTGCATAACTCCTTTCACTGCTGGGGAGTCCAATGCCCCATTTTCGACTATGCCTTATTATTAAAGAGATACTTTTATTCGAAAGCTTTAACCGGCATTCCTCAACATGTAAACTAACTCTGTTTGTGCTAAAGTGATTGTGTGAAGAATTTCCTTTTTTAGTATGCTAATTATTCTTCGAGACTCGAAACGTTTTAAATAAATTCGCATAATTTGTTATGATAGTACAGTCTTGATAATGGCGTTATGATGACACCGAAAAGTCGACTTTTTTACTCTTTTATTAACTTGTTTCTGTTTCACTATAACACAGTTGATCAGATCTGGAAAGGGATAAAGAAAATCGCAAAGCTTTCTTTCTAAACTAGGATAGGATTTTAAGAGCATACCCATCACCCCAATGCAAATTTTTAAGAGGTAACGGGGGAAGTAAGAAAATTTATGTTGGTTTGAGTAAACTCTTTCATCGCACAAAAGAGAAAGCTTAAGTAGAAGCAACAACGAAGATGTGAGCTAACCATAAGTTCCCTTGGTCTGGAAAAAAGCATCTGCGTATCTTGCTTGCACTGATGGTATTAGCGTAATAAATCAGAATAGGCCGTCCTTGTCTCCCTCATTTTTAAAGCTTTTCACACACATTTCGCTACGTTTTTGCCTGCAATGATTTTCCGCGAGTTTATTTACCCATTTATTTTGTCTTCGATAGAGATTCGCTCCGAGAATGACTCTCGTTCCTCATTCCGAAAATTTTCCTCAAGTCTTTTAGTAGTAGTATGATTTTAATATTATCTGGATAGCTGGATTGTCGCGTTCTTGGCACTTGCCTTGAGTTAAAAGACCACGCCCTAATTACACGCGCAAAGCGCGATGCTGTGTCATGCGTTGTTTAGAATTGCTTGCTGAGTTGCAACTGATAATATAAAATTCATCGTTACAGAAAGAAAACTATTTTTCAATGTCAGAAGCAAACCACAAGTCAATATTAATATTGTTCATCATCCAGTTTTGGCTCAATGTTTTGCCATGCGGAGGCTACAAAGCCTTAATGAATCACGCGTTGATGACTGTGAATAGAAATACATATGTGCCTTTCTTCCAGTGAAATCTTTTAACTCTAAGAATAACTTCAACCATCTTAGCCACTTTCTACCGAAAAATTGCTTTTACCAAGCGAGTTGATTATCAAAATCGGTCCCCTACAAAAGCCGGATTCAAAAGACGTCTTTTCGTCAGAGCGAATGGCATATCGCTTGGAACTTAACTATTGCGACCAATATCACTACGCCAATTTATTTTTAAAAATAAATTGTGACCACCCAGTTCACTAAGGAAATTTTGCATATCCGGCGTATTATGTAACTGGGAAACTCTTTTATAATAATGATAAGGACAAAGGATTTAAGCGACATTCATATGAAGACCGCAGTTCACCTTGACTCTTTACAAAGATAAGTACAATTTCCTTTGCATGTATGTTGTTGTTCCATGGCACGGAAGTGTTAATATAATTTTACTCTCCCGACGTTTACATAATAAATAAAAAAAACTCAGTTAACATGAAAAGAGTGTACACATATATTAAGAGAGGCATTATCAGATAAAAACAGAACGTATCACTCATTAATTCATCGCTTCTCCTATTATTTAAAAAAACTTAGGCACTGCACAGAAAAATTATTTGTCAAAAAAGTAACACCTATAACAGACAAACATCCACTAGAAGAAACGTTTTGAATTTTCTGGATAAAAAAAGGCCCTCACCAGTCAGTGTCCGGGGAAAGTCCGTGTGGTGATGAAGGGGAACGACTAAATTTTCATTCACGAATCAGCTTCATCCACCAGGAACCAAGGGGGGAAAGATGGACCTTGATCGCTACAGCTAAGGGCAAAGAGTCTTCACCCATATTTAACTTGGTATGGATGTACCAGCGTCATTCCTTGTTATTTTAGTGCTACAAACAAATATTATAAAACTCGACTCAGTGCTTAAGTACCCCGCTTAGTGGAAAAATATAGCTGCCTGTACGCTTTAGATCTATTGATAAACGACATGTTATTGTCCATTCACCTAGATAACCAATAGTTCAGAGAAATCTGACAACTTTTGACTATTCTCTGATAAGATACACATTTCTGAAACATTTCCAATGCAGATAGGAAGTTGACTATAACGCTTTGGCTTGAGTCCATTTGTAATTTTTTTTCAAATTAAAGCTCAACTGAAAATTGGAACAAATATTTAAGGCTAAGAATTATCTGTATTAATCGAATGGTTCCCCTAGGCCACCAAGCGATGTTACGCAGTCGTAATGTCAGTTTAATATGGTACTGCCAAAAGACAACAAAGCAAGCCCCATACTGATGCGGAACACGCTCAACCACTAAACCACTGCAAAAGAGGAAAAAAGTAAATCAAAGGAAAGGAAACTGAACAAATAATTTATTAATAATAATTTTCACAATGTAAAACTGATTGATTGTAAACAAGACGTTTGAGATTTTTGTTCGCTTCTCCGTGCCTTTTCAATCACTCGAGATGTAACGTCTAAAATTAACATTAATGAACGCGTGCAAAACGAATTTGTGTTTAAAAAGGGTGGAGAAAAATACCACCTCCTGCAGGTGGGCGCGTCTCAAAATCTTTGGCTCGAATCCTGTTCAAGCATAGTTTTTAGGAAACCATCGTTGGGTGCCCCTAAATTAACTATGGTAAAATAAAACAACAACTAGCATTCGAGATCAAACATTTCATTTATTGTATTTTCATGTTTCACGACACCAAAGACACCACAACTGCCAATGCATTTAACGGCAGCGAAAGCACAATTAGTATAGTTCTAATTAATGTTCATTGTAATGCAGCCATTCTCTAGCCTCGGTGTCTATCTTCTCTAACCGATTTCACGTTAAGCAGAGCGTAGTTGGAAAGCAAAAATATGTCCATTAACAAAATAAACACTGATAAATTGTCCTCTATTTTGGCTAGATATTCGTACGAATATATTCTTCGTCCTCAACTAATATTTGCCTGTATCTGACCCAGGAATTTGGTTTTCCTATCTACACAGGATACATCAACCTACTTCTACAAATAAACAGCTCTACCCTCGTCAAATGCAGGATAATTTCAAATGAAAGCAGTGATTTGCCCGAATTATTCTCAATAGGAAGACAGCCTAGCAAAAATTCCTTCGTTGCTCTCTTGTTGTTCAAGAGAAAAAATTAATCATCGCCAGCGATGAAACTCTCACAACAAATATATTACACATTCTATTACAAGAAAAAATAATAAAGCCTGAATATTATTCGCCAAATATTTCTATCTTTAACACCCTTTCAAGTTTTTTTCTCTAGATTATTTGAACTTTTTTCTTTTTAACCTGAAGCAAATTTTACCACATGACCCCTGAGGTCTATCTCTGGCAGGCAACCTTGTTCCCAGGGTGCGCTCCGGAGACCTAGCAGGAGGGAGCTTGGGAACGAGGCTGCTCGCACGGGTTGTGGGATTAGGTGGGTCACCCCATACGCACATATGGGTTAGGGTTACCGACGAGTGCCTTTACTGACCATTACTGCCCATCCGCACTACACAGATGTATCCTCAGTAATCCTGTGAGGCTAGGCAACGTTACATCTTGCTCTACTTTAGCTTCACTTGATTATCAGGAAGCGGATTACGCAAATGCCAGAATTATCAGGTACACTGCTAACATTTTGCCAGATGACAGGTTACACGTGACGTTCGTTTCAACATACAAATAAAAACTTTTAGTAATGGCGACACGAAGGCAGCGAAAACGTCATCGACGTTGCATAAGGAAACTTCACGTCCTCGTCATGCACGGGCGGCAAGGGATTCGACAAAAAGGTGTGCTGAACGGGCAGAATTATTGTTTTGCTTATTAAACCTCTTGCTTTTTCGACGTCCTCGTTGCCTTCGCTTCGTATTGCTAACATTCTCAAATGACATACATAATTTTAAATGATAATTTCCACTGTTTATCTTGTCCCAGTGCGACTTTTATTCTCCAGCATGGCGGCTTTGTACCACCTGAATGGCTAGCTGTAAAGGGCCTATTTCAAACAACTCACTGTATTTTGACAGCACAAACCTCGAAATAGTGTCTTAGTTCACAGAAATGGGGGAAAGGTCATTAGCACGTTCAGCGTTTTCGATTTTCTTATAAACCAGCATTTGACGAATTGAACTGTGTTAAAAATTTGAGCGAAACTATTCTATTAATGATATATTAATATGGTATTAAATTAGATTTACCCAATTCAATACACACAATCCTATCGACTCCAGCAAATCGTAGGTATCTATTTTTGCATGTAGTTATGACAGTCATTAGTACTGGGTTTTCCTTAAATGTAACAAGATGGTGGTAATTCACCAAATTTGAAATTGTAATATCACAATTATATTAATTAGTTAATATATTAATCTCTCTTGAATTTAATTCAGTTCAATAGTCGCGTGTTTCCAATTTCTTGCTTCCGTCTCTCGACACGATTTAAACATTGAAAATCTTCTTCACTGAGTAGCCCTAAGAAAAAAATACATGAGAAATATGAATCCATCAGAAAAATCACACCTCAAGTTATTAAAGTCCATTGCTATATTTCAAAATCTAAATTCAGATTTCCCAATCGAAGGCATCGTAAGTGAGAAAGGCCCCTCCTATCAGCACAACAGAAAATGTATGGAGAACATTGTGGAAAATATATATGTTGATGTTAGTGTTCAAGGAGCTGTGCCATGAATTTTATTAAGAAAATTCTAACAGTAGGAACTGCGAAACAAAAGAAAAATTACAAGTAAGTGTTTGAAATGTGAAAGTACACGATAGAGTCAGTAGACAGGGTAATAAACGGTCAGCCTTAGATAACATCGGGTGAGGGCATATTGGACTCCTTTTCTCGTAACGTAGCGTAACTGGAACAGGCCCCCATTAACCCTGTACAGCGTAGAATTGCTGACAAAAAAAAAATTAACACTGATCTGCAGTGCTTAGGGTTAAGCACTGACCAGAAAACTGTTAGTTTTCAGATATTGTATGGGATACGGCATGAGTGCATGTATACTTAAAAAAATTACTGGATTTGACAGCTAATCCTCGATGAAAGAGTGGATATGGATGTGGGCTATGAAGCAAATGACTCGGGTTTAAAGCATTCCAGTGGGGTTTTTCTATCTTATTTTATGTTACACAGTAGAGTTGGACTTAAATTGTTCTTCATGTAATTTTACTCAAAGAAACCCTCTGGCCTCACCCGATGTTACCTAATGCTAACCGTAATAAACAAGTCTTCAGATGGAGGCTAAGCCTGTAAGACACTTCTTTTATTCAGCGGTCATAGCGAACTCGCCACTGGACTATTTTACACCTAGCCCGCGTAGCAGGCGCTTGGAAGTAGTGGGCACAAGAAAAAACGGGCGCGCGAGAAGGAGACACCCAGTGCTTCCAAGCGCCTGTTACGCAGGCTATTTTACACCCCTTATGACAAGAATGAGGACACTCACCGGCATTGAATACAAAAAGATAACCACAGCAGCAACAATGATGATTGTGATGAGAATACCAATGATAATCCACTTGTAGTTTCTCCAAATGATGTAACGCAGAGTCTTAAACGGTGATGTAAACCAGCGGAACGAGGTTGCGGGGCGACTGGAGACGAGATAAATACGTGTTACGAATAGTCCTCTCTAGCTTTTATCTTTTGTTTTCCTAAAGTAGGTCATGTGATATTGAGTACTCCAGAGAACTGTTACTTTCAAATTTTGTCTTACTCCCGTGAATATGTACGCACATTTTATGAAAAGACAGAGGGGCTAATCGACTTGAGACCCTCACTGGGAGAACAAAACATACAAGCTAAAGAGGTCTGTTCAGTTCGAGGTCCGTATTTTAGTTACGGTGTTTCCGTAAGGACTGAGAAAACGAGTTTATCGTATCTCTGGGTTTAAGGGGCAAGTAGGGTTGCTTTAATTGGGAAATGGGGTTGAACTGGAAATGAAAGAATTACGGGGAGAAAAGGTATACACAAACAAATTAGTCCGCCAATAAAATCAGGTTTATTAATTATTTACTTCATATTTTTATATTCAACAACCCACCGATCCAATTTCCCAAAATCTAAACACTCTTCCCCGTAATTTTTATTCATTATAAAACATTAGAAAAAGCATCCATAAATTCTCAAAGATTTATTAATCTAGTGACTCCAACCTCATAGAGTCATTGTTTAATTAAATGAAATCTTGGCTAGATTTTGAAAAAAAGGGGTCGACATAAACGAAACAGGGCTTTTAACCAGACTCCACCCGTAAGTAGAGCGTGGAAGATTTCAGTTCAAGTGGAGGGGCCATTTGTAATGCAAGCGCGTGCTTATCCTTCTCTAGTTGCCGCTTGCATTCATATAGAACCTCTAAGAAATCAAATCGAAAGTTTGGGATAACGTCTCTCGCCCGTTGTTCCTTTTCTCTGTTTGCCACTGACCCTTTAACTACGTTTTAAAGGTGCATTTATTTCTTACTTAGGTTCGTCGAGTGTGGGATTCTGATTTGGTTCATCTCTTCCTTTACCAGCCGGCTTTGATTCAGCTTCCTCTTTAGTCAGCAACTCGATGGCCATTTCCACTTTACCCTACCATTATAAATCAGTGGTTCAGTCAAAGTGCGAGAAATGTCCACTAGAAAGCGTTATACACCTAGACCAACCTCGAACAACTGGATCCAGAAAGACTGCGTTTGACCTTTCGAATGAAAGCCACTGATAACAAGCTATTCGTTAGCTGACATGTTAGATAAGCGCACGACTACCTCTTACTCAAAGCAGAAAGAAACGGAAACAGCAGACTAGCAATCAGGCAGCAAACAGGTACACTCACTGTTAACTGCATCTCTTCTCCAGCTTCCTGTGCAACACAGGGCCACCAACCGTACACTCTCTTCATCTCAAACAAGGACACTGTCTCCACGCTACTGCTGGATCGGCCTCCATCACCGTAAGAAGGAAGCTGCTGCAAGGAGCACCTCCGGGAGCTCTTCGTTGGTTTGGGCATGCGGTTGAGGTTCAGTTCTAACTGACCTGCATAAACAACGGTTGTAATATACCTTATTATAAGAAATTACCGTTTCATGAAATTAAGGCGACTTTTTTTTAAGTCGAGATAATTTCCGCGACCTTAATTTTCATTATTTTGGCCCCAAATTCTCAATACATTCTGCTAGCAGGCTGACTAAAGAACAAGGACAACAACAACAGAAACAACACAACGCACCTAGAAAGTCGTCCGGAGAAAACTGGTCATTGTCCCAAACTTGGATGACAAGCCGTGGGGGAACTTGGTCCTCTGTTTCATCAAGGCTCCAAAAGTGCGCCTGAATACATGAAATGGGCCAAGTTAGTACAAATGACATTTAAATGGCATTTAAATGACATTTAAACTAAAGTCATGTTACATATGTATGTATGCATGTACGTTTCAATTAACTATTTTAAACACGGAGGAACTGGGGAAAAATCATATGATTGACATAATTGAACGAGTTTAACGAAGAGCTACAAAACTGATCATTAAGGAAAGGCCTTATAGAGAGAGACTTCAGGAACCGAACCTTCTTTCCTTGGCCTCAAGGAGGTTTTTTATGGAATTAGTTTTCCTTTTTAAATGCATGATGGGCTATACGATTTGGATCTGTCTCATTATCTTCTGACAGCTGACAGTTCTAAATATAATCTCAGACAAGCTCATCACCAGTTTACAATTAGATAAGATTAGAAATTTTCTATTTTTTTAGAGTAGAAAAATCACGAAACTCTCTGCCTTTACATTTAAGAAAAGCTGAATCTTTAAACGATTTAAAGGATCGCCTGAAATCCCTTCTACATTCCATGAATTTATCTTTCTTACTACTTTAATTATATTTCTACTTTAACATTGTACATAACTGCCACTTGTTTAGGTATTTATGAATTTTTTAGCTGTTTTAATTTATATTTATCGCAATTTTGGGTAACCCTTCAATGAGGGAACTAGTCTCCTGTTTAGGGTTTTCCTGTCGATACTTATAGTCATTTGTATTGGCAAACTATCAAAGTAAAGTTTGTAGTAATACCTTTTTTCTGACGACGACAACTTTCTCTGCTGCGAGGTACATGAAGGGGAATATATAACGCCAGTTGAAGTTTCCCTCGCCATCCAGAGATCTATACAGAGCACAGAGGGAATGAAAACAAGGCTTCGTTCAAGTCAGAGGTAAAGCAAAAGCTTACAAAAACGGCAAAAGTATTCTAGATGAACAGTCTCTCTAGTTAAATCGTGCGTGGGAGAGTATAAAAATAAAGCCTTCAACATAATACAAACACTGAACAAGGATCGGAAAGACAGACGCAAACTTTAAAGTTGCTAGTAAACGAGAGAGACGTGATGGTCCCTTCACAGCGCGTATAACAACCTAATAATTTCATGACCTTAAGTAAACCGTCACCTTACCTGTAATGAACATCCGTTTTCTGTGATTCCTCAATCCCAGCAATCCACCTAAACAGTGAGATCAAAGCTTCTTAAAAGTAGGCCGCTGCCCATAACTCAAGCTTAAGGGGAAAAAACTAAGTGCCCTCGGTTAGTAAAACTCTTTCTCCTACTGCAAAGTATTTCACGTCACTTTTTTCCCGAGTGCATCGTTTAAAACAAGGATGCCATTGGTTCACGAAACAATAGAGAAACGACACACAAAGTGTCCCTATTCGCACTAACAATGGCAGATGCAGGTTACAGGGACCAGCGAATTAAACGTCTACACGAGCTGCAACCCTTTAACCCTTCACCCTTCATAGCACAAACTTCTTACCCCTTGACGTAAATATCACTCATTTGTTCACTCGTTATGGAAGTCTCCTCTAAAATCACGTCCGCAGTATTCCAAATAATCACCCGCAATTCATACCTAGGAAATACATACAAACAATCTAATCATTGCATTCTCACCACTGTATATGGACATTACAAAGGACCAAAGTGCAAGTCGAGGATTGACTGTTACAAGTGTACCAAAAAAAAACAAACAAAAATCTTTACACAAACAGAGGGCAGATCTTCGATTAACGTTCATTGAGTATTGAACATTATTATATGGGGGCTACAATAGTACGCGCGCCCTGCTTGGCTGCTGAGCGGGCAAGATTTTCTTGCAATGACCGGGGATTATTAGCCAGGTGTCAAAGGCATATACCATCTGTGTTTAACATAATAGTGGACATTAACGTTATAGCCAATGTCAGCTGTCCAAAAAAGGTATCCGCTAACCAAAGTCAAATGACTGTATCAAGTGACTGGGCTCAAGTGCACAACTCTATGAGTTATCCGCTAACCACTTATTGGTTTTAAAAGTTATTGGAGTAAGACGCCAATCACTAGGCAGGTTTCTGACGAGAATTTCACATATCATTGTGTATGTATTTCAAAGGGATAGCAGAGCCAAAAACTTTGGTGTGTCAATTTTTATGGAAGGAGAGCACAGAGGTAAAAACGCCACTAAGAATGTGAAATCCTGTGAAGCATTCCCAAGAAATTGGCACACCATGAACGGAACTTAAACAAGTCCAATACAAAAACTATACAACTAGTATAAATACAAAAACTTTAAGTACTTACTCTCCAGGCTTACGCGCATTAATATCAAACGGAGCTGCTGGCGTACCAAGGTGTTTGGGGAAAACGTCCACCCACATTTGAAGCTTACCCTGCAGGATGGATACAGACAGATTAACAGTCACCTTGTCGGTACCTTGCAGGTGAACATAGTGCTGGCCAGCCGAACGTCACCTGTTTTTTCTCTAGTATGAGGGTCGGTTATTTAATGTGGCTAAATGTAATTTAGGCAAAGTTAACCTTGAAGCAATGCTGGTCAGCAGTTTCCCCAGCTATAGTTGGGGTAGCCCGATGCCTCTAGCAGGGGCACCTCGTGACTTATATACGCAGTTGCTTGCTTGCAGTTCTTTGCAAAGTGTTGTTGCAATTGCTTGTTGTTGAGTGCCAGTTTGTGCTTTGGTTTTTCCCATCCCTCCCTCCCTCTTGGTGGGGGGCTAGGTAAGTATTGGGTTGGTAAGTATTCCACTGAATTGTTCAGTGTGACGGTGCCTGGTGGGGGCCGCTCGCAGGGTTGCCATGGATACCTCCTCCTCATTCTAGAGCATTGCCCGGCTCCACCAACTTTGTAGGCACCAACGGCCAAGCTCATCTATTGGTGATGAGTTTAAAGTCTTACTTAGGTCGCGGTTATTGGACCACCAGATCTCTTTCTATGTGGGTTATTTTAAGAAGATGAATGTTTCTCCAGTCAGCCCTTTTGCTTCCATGAAACTGTTCACAATAACAGGTGTTTACATAAAAGCGTTCAGCAAACTGTAAATGGCTTTCAACAGAGTTTTGTTTAACCCTGCCTAAACTCCGTTTAAATAACCGGCCTTAACTGTCTATAACACGGCCGCCTATCGAAAGGAAGATCAGAGATTTCCTGAACCTCCTGTTCTCTGCTTTCCTAGCCGGACGTGAAGTCTACAACTGTCTTACGCGTCTATGACCAACTGCAAACACTCTACCAAAAGTACACCTGTCTGAGGTGGACAAGAGTGTTTTGCTTGGCTACTCCCAAATTTTTCTTGCTCTCAAGGGCTAAAAATAAAACCCATCGCTTTGCTGGTTCTTGCCACTGCTGGCAATGCCTGTGGCTTAACTCCCTAGCGTGCATTAAAGCCCCACCCCGCCCACCCCGCTAAAAGCAACATACTTGTACCTGTTCGACGTTAGGTTGAAGCGAATTATACAACGCTCTGGTCTCCACGTGTTCAGGAACAACGGGCATGGAATTCAATACGTGCAATGCCAGCCGCTGGTCGGGCGGGCCCAAGTGTTGGTGGAACAGCATGCCTTCCTCTGATGAAAAAAGGAGGCGAAAATACTTTCTCTTTAAGAGAAAAACAAGACTGGGGAGGGGGATGACAAGTTTGTTCAAATAGAAATGTGTGAAGGCAAATTTTTCCATGTCTAGAGAAAGAAAGGTTTGTGCCAGAAACGCATATGTCCTCTTACCAAACTCTTGTAGGTTGTAAACCTTTCCATCCAAGACGAGTTGAGTGTTTCCAAGGAACTGAGGTTTGTTTAAGCTGTTCAACTCACACCAGTGCTCCAGGATTTGACGAGGCGTTTGCGAGTCACGCCACTGATTTGGACCAGACCTACAACACAATCAGCAAAACTTGCCGGTCACGCAAATTTTCTATCGTGACTATTTCTTACAGATAGTTAAACGTTGTTGATGTGTGACCTCTCTGCATGTTTGATAGGAATCAATATTATGAGCTGATTGTCTCGTCAGTCACACCAAAGACAAAAACTTTTGTCCATCACGCTTAGTTTGCTGTCACTGTTTCCTAGAAGTGGCAACCGCCATAAATAATCCAAGGTGTAATTTTAACTGATTACATAAAATTTTTTTTAAAAAAAAGAAGAAATGAGCAGCCTTTCTCATAGTGGAGAAATTAACCATCGATGGGGACAGTACTCACGTGCAATAAGTTTGAGGCAGGCCACAAGTCGCACGAAAACGAGATAAGAACCTGTTTTCCAAGTCAACAACAGTCTCACCAATCAGATCATCCCTACCAATTACGTCATAATCCATGACACTAACGCGCAGATCCTTGACAATAGGGATGGTGGCAGTTAATTCAAACATCCTGACAGAACAAAATGACAAACCGTTTTGAATAATAAGACCAACGGCAAAAAGACTCAGTAAAAAAAAAAGGAAAGCTCACTACGGCGGCGAATATTGCTAGCGCATTGCGAAATCCGAAAGGCAATAAATGCTTAATTACCAGACTAACAAGAACTGGAAAATGTTGTGCGTTTTTTCCTAGAAGCTGAGAAAAAATCAATGGGTACAGGCGAAACAAAATAAAACAAGATCCGTACTATAATAAAAGTTTAATAACGTAAGCATTAAATAACCTTGAAGATTGCAGTTTCCTGACCAAGTACAATAAGCAATCAACAGTTGATTAATCACAACACTTTATTATATCAGAGTCGTCTTACTTTCCAAAGATGGGATTCAGGTTGTTTGGCACGTAGTTGTCCTTATCAGAAACTTTGTTCTTTCCCAAATGCACCACAAGATAAGGATCTGCAAGTCCGCTGGTGTCTTGGGGTTGAAGTTCTAGGGCCTGATGAAAGTTAACACGATCGAGAATATACTTACAGCAACTAAATAACATTGTTAACAACTCCACATAACGTTGTGAAACTCCTAAAGCGTTTTATGGGAACATCAGGTGCTCAAAAATTCGAAACAGTTGTGAATTGTGAAGTTCAGTGAACGAAGTGTTTTAGGAAGTATTTTTGATAGTTTGGTTCATAAAGGCGGTGAAAGGAAACTTTCCTTTCGTTTTTCAATTAAGTTTGATTCCAAGTTTGATATTTGATTTAATGTACAAAAACGGAAAGATGTTAACCATCTCACCCGCACAATGTAAAGTCTGACGAGACATTCCACCGGTTGACTGGGCGGTAGTTTACGTAAAATCTTGGGCGGCAAAGGGGCATTGGGGTCACTTGGAAGAGGATACAATCTAAAAGATCCCTGAAATGCAACAAAATGAAAGCAAACTCAGTTAAGACGTCTCTAGAAATACCCAAGGCTATGAAAAGAACAGTATACAAGGCTAGTACAGTCAAATCCCGCTTTGTGGACACCTTGTTATTACGGACAGTTTGCTTTGACCCTGGGGAAAGAAAGTCCTTATATTTTCTCTAAATTCAACCTGGTTAATACGGACACTTTTTATGGCCCCTCAGTGTCCGTATCAAAGGGGTATGACGGTAACAATTCTGACATCATCAAAATTTTTCCGCGTCTGCACATTATGACCACAAGAACCACAACGATAACAAAGACAGCCACAACGACCACGATGACCACAAGGCTCAAGACGCACGACGACTACAATGACCATAAGCAACACGACAGCCACGATGACCAGGACCGGCACAAGGACAACGAATACCACAACGAACTCAATGACCTCAACCACTACAAATTGAGCCGGTTAAGAGAGTTGTGCTCGTTACGGCCGTTGTGTTGGTTGTGTAAGTCGAGCTGGTTGAGAGAAGTGGGTTTGTCGAAGGAGTTGTGTTGGTGGTGGGAGTTGTGACAGTTGTGCCGCTAAGAATTGCGGGAATGGTGCTACTAGTTGTGGGGGGGGTTGTGTTAGTTGTGAGAATTGTGTTGGTTCTGAAAGTTCGTTTACGTCGCTAAATGTTCCATTAGGCAATTGGAGAGTTCAGACAGGCTCTTTAATTTTAAGACATACAGCTGCAGACAGTGGCACTTGGCAACTTAGGATTATTTTCTATGTTTGTACAACAGCACTAAATTTGCCCTTACAGGAAAACAGGATCCTTGTTTTTCAATACTAATTTGTGCCTTAAAAATTGCTGGTTGTGGGAGTTGCGCCCCAAACCAAAGCACAACACTTCCAAGTCTATCAAGATAAGTGTCATCTGTAACAGACTGATGACAGGTAACCAAAAAAAATGAAGGGAGATTCTTACTGCAGTTGTGTTACCACTTTACCTTAAATTCTCCAACAACAGTATCCTCCTCGTCTGATTTTGATTTCACTTTACCGCGATGAATGTTAAACGTTTCTACAAAGTCTTGGAAACCATTAAACACTTCAACTTTCTCCAGTTCGGCGCCATACACCTGTAATAATGAAACAAAAATGCCACTTGTCACACCTCTAAGACAAACTATCACATTAACTTTACGCCCACAAGCACTTTGAGTGTCTCCTGCCCAGTAGATTTTGGTGTTGAAAATATAATTTACATTTCTACAACCTTATCTGTCAAGAGAGGACCGAGCTCACAACTTTTGAATTTGGGGCAAACATCCAAAAAGCCCATTTCTTTTTCGCTTGGGAAACCGCGACTTCAGTAATTTTTGCATTTGTCAGCAGTGTCCACAGGCCCAATATCTACAATTCATCCTCCTCTTTTAGCCATACAATCAAAGGGTTTAAGAGGCAGTCCAGTAAGGGAGCGTGAAGTGCGGGATGTATAAATGGCTTCGTCACTTATACATGACAACACAGTTAACCGTTATACTAATATTTATTTTATGGTGTGCTTAAGCTATCATTTATAGTTGCCATAGCAAGTTATAATTACTCGGTCATGTAATTATCTTGTTAATTCAGTCTTCTTTACTACAACAGAGCGAAATAAACAGCCATTATAATCATATTTACCAGAAATATTCGCAGTTCCTGACCTTCTAATTTTTCATAATATGAAACTATGGATCATCATACGTTTCTGGGATACTGCCCACCTACCCCTCCCCCAAGCCAACATTAACTCTTACTTCTCAAGCACTTGGGGCAAAATGTTGGCTTAGAGTAGGGGTAGGTGGGCAGTTTCCCAGAAACATCTAATGATCCGAAACTGTTTCAACTTCACTTACCATGATCTTGTCATATCCTTTCTCCATGTAAGTTCCAGCTTTGTCATTATCACCAACAGAGGCATAAAACTTGGACCACCAATCGATATCTTCATCTGCTTGATCCTAAAATAATCACAACGTACGTTACGAGCCGCAAGCCGATTCATCTTTTTCAATGGACGTAAAATCATTACAAGTAGACAAGGAAAAACTACAATAACGTAATTATTATTTCAACTAAACAGACGCCAAAACACGTGGCTTTAGCGCAAAGCGAATCGTTGACGAGCTAAAAAAGCGCTATAACCTTCTGGATTTTGTTCACTGCCAGCCTTCTCCTTGTTTAAGAGAATACCAGTCTTTCTTTATTTCCGGTATTTTTGGCGGGAAAACATGCGTAGTTTCATTTTCTGTCACTTCGGCATTGACCATACACCTTGTTTGCCTTCAAAAATTTTGTACAAGCATTGTTTTCTTTCGACGACTTTAATACCCAAGATGAATTGCAAACAATAGTTATGCAAACGTTAAGGGTACAAACAAGGTGCATTTTGGGTAATGCAAAAGTGGGGAATTTTTTTAGAACAACAACAAAAGAAAAATAGAGATTCATGCACAACGTGAAGGCTCAATTTTGAATGAGATATTCCGTTTTTTTTCCGTGACCCAGTGGTTTGTTCACTTAACCAAAATAGTTGTGTTAATAAGACATATCTGCTACATACACTTCCTTTCTTCGGATCTTCTTTGATGTCCATGATGTGAGACGATCCAACTCTGCTGGCTTCTCCTTCAGCTGCAAATACGACCCATCAAATGAAATAGTGAGGAAATAAGAATAATCGTTGGAAAGGAAAAAACCAGCAACAAAAACAAAGGTGTATCTGAGGTGCAGCTGCCAATTGCTTGCTACAGCTATTGTTCACAGCTGCGTTAACAGGTAACAGTGTCGTGTAGTAGTGAAGTGGAATTTTGTTAGTTTGGATATTGATGAAAACTGGGATCAATTTAGGTTTGTCGAAAACTGCCCACCTACCTGAGCTATCATTAACACTTACTTCTCACTTGAAGCAAAATGATGGCTTAGGGGAGGGGAAGGTGGCATTTTCCCGGAAACCCAAATTGATCCGAAAAATGTGCTTGCGCAAAAAATGAAGCAACGTCCATGCAATGTGTAACGACGAAAAAAGGGAGACTTAACAAACAAAGATATATTTAAATTTCCTGCCAAGAAGGCGCAAGAGTTTCACGCGATAGGTTGTGTTGCAAGTTATCAGCACGTTACTGTATAATTCATAAAAGGTCTTGTTTCGTTTATGCGAGAGTCATATTGATCGCTACTAACAAAGTGACTGTACGTCTAGGCAATTTTATGAGGAAACCACCGAAAAAAGACCAATGCTAACAATGGTTTGGCAAATCACGTTAATGGGGGCGTGTTGTTCATGAATTCAGTGCAAAACTAGTTCTGCTCAGCTACTAACATCCACTTTGTTCTTCCTCGTCCTCCTCTGTTAAAAGCAGAGATGGTTATTTAGCTTTGTTGGATCCATATATACTCTGGTAAACTACTACCCTACACTTCCCCTAGCCCAATACTTTGCCCTAAATAAGAAGCTAGTATTAACGTTTGGTTTTTATTTTCCCCAGAATCGTATGTTCTAATACCGCTTCGTTTACTACACAATACACTTTCCGAAGGTATTAGAGCACAGTCCAACCTCTTCGCGTTCGCACACGTCACTATTTTGGGCACACCTCCAAGTCTCAAGGGAGACGTGATTCTCTAATATGATTACTTATGTAAAGTGAACACTTTGTTTT